CGTTTTCTGCAGACAGCGATGAAAATCATTGGTTTACTTCTACACAAAACAGCACTATGAAATACTTGGACGAATGTTAAATATCTTGAGTGTATGCACCACTGCAATGGTATTCAACTCATTCGTGTATGGAGTGAAAAAAATAATGACATGTAAAGCGTCTTTGAGTGTCCAAAAAAGCGCTATATAAAACTGATGCATTACTATTATTATTTATCGGAGTGTCATCTTTGGTTTGTGAGAATAAACAACCAAACCGAGTGAGCGGAGCAAGAATTAAGGGCCTCCCACTTTTTAAAGTAATGTCAGCATTTTTCCATACTTTTAAGTAATGCATATTTAGGACCAAGGGAAACCATGAAAAGTCCCTCCCATTAGCACGAACGAGAAAAGTTAAAACAATGACAACGACCGTCAAGGATTTGAATTAAGTGCTCACTTGTCAGTACCAGCAGATCCAAAACTATATTTGAAGGCTGACAGGCTCACGGCATGGCTGCCAACATTACCTGTAGATACGTTTAAAAAGCGTGAATTTGACTGTTTTAAAATGTAAATCATGATTAAATAGGTGTTCAGGCATAAACGTCAATGACCTGTCAGTACCAGTCTGTCTCATTTAGGCTAACATTCCCCTTACTGCCCCAATCTGTGACACTTGTCACTTTTGTTGTACATAATTATTGTCACTTTTGTTGTACATATATCCTGCATGTAACATATTTGCATATTTCCTCCTTTTGCACAATCTGAGTGTCCTATCCATGCCAAATGTGACATGTAAATTTCTCCTATGTGAGATAAATAAAGCACATCTTATCTTATCTTATCTTATCTGGACTTATCACTGTGACTGCCACCATGTTTCACTAATGAGTTTATATTTCTGTTCCTTTCATAAAGACTTGTTTGAGTAAATCTTTGTCTCATTTGCCCATATTATGTTGCTCAAGAATGCTGAAGTTGCAATACTTTATATTTGGCTGTATGTTGGATATTTAAACATCTAAATTGAAGGACAATGACTGGCAGCTCTACTCAAGGGCGCTGAATTAAAATGGCAGCCAGCGGTTCAGTCAAAGCTCTCATCTTTTTGAAAGTTTGTGAATTGTTGATTGTTTTTCTTCCCTGCATTGGCTGTTGTGTGTGCTGTGGCTTACCGGGCATAGGGCCAGTTCTTTGTGACCTCCCCCTGCACTCCCGCCTTTATCGCCTGCATCCAGCTGGGTGGCCGGACCTTAGGAGAGAAGAGAAGGAGACATTCACTGTAGGACATATTAGAAAGGCTATTAAAAAGGATTGGATTACAGCCAGATAATAACAGCAACGAGCTGAAACTTTTCCTTCAGCATGTGCTTTCTGGACGGATGCATAATTCGCTATGTTCTGTTGGCGCGTTCCCATTACTGTGATCATAGGCCATGAAGCCTGTAATAATGGTTGCAGCTTCACTCTGAGCAAACCAAGCCGTCTCAGCCCTTGATTAACCTTCCAGCGGCTTAACACAATGCGAATGAACTGGGAGCATTCGGTTAACAGGGCATTTTTGTTCTAACTGCTGAATACATAGCTCAAAAAAAACAATACAAAGGCCAAATTTTACATGTTTTGAAGTCGTTGTATGTGATGTTTATTCACTATGACATGAATGTGTGGGCTTCCAAAGATTGTTGGCTAATGGTTTGGGTGATTTCCAACGTTTTCATCATCCATACCAATAACTACAAAGTTTGACCTGTGTTTAAAGTTGTGTGGCTTTGTTCATAAATAATTTATGTTCCCATTGTCCCAAAAGAAATAGTCTTGTTAAAGTAAAATGTTATGAACAAATCCGACCACAAAATGTTGTCATCTTTTAAGAAAAACATGGTATATTTTTATCCTTTTGCATATTTGTAAGATAAAGCTTTATGAGTCCCTATTTGATCTTTTGAGCTGAGAGCTGTTTAGCTGAGTGTGGGTGGTCCTTTCTTCTATTTCTTTGTTCTTTTTTTCTGAAAAATCTTATCAAAAGATGTGATGGAGGCCAAAAATACATGCAGAACTAGTTAGATTATATTACATAGTTCAACTGATTCCATTTTACAAGAGCACACTTAGGAGGCATAACATTAAAGGACAACTCACCCTCAAATCCACTTTTTTTTGCTGATAAGCGATTTAAATGAGTGTCCAATAGTGTTGTCTACATATCCTGGTCATAATTTTGTCACTTTGGTGCAAATTAGTTGAAAGTTAAACTTTCTGCCTAAAACCGTCTGTGAGGCGCCATCTGCTGGCGACTGTTGTATATTTTAATATTTGACCATTTGAACATCATAGCCAGAAAGACCTCTGTGCACTCAGGAAAAACCCCAAGGACACAGGATAATCAGACATGAGTCATAAAGATAAAATGCTGTTTAAACAGGGCGAATTATTAACTTTAAATAATAAACATTTTGACGAGGACAAGAGTTCAGAACCTGAATCTTGAGGCAGACTGGGAGATTCACCAACTGCATTCTAACGCCTCCCAGTGGACAAGGGACGTCAGCACACCCGGAAACTCCACCCCTTGGACGCATAAGGATGACGTCATCGGAAGTCTCCCTCATGAGCCCCTGTGTGTTTTTTTTGAGGTCAGACAGGACAGGGCACGGACAGGGGAAGAGCAGGCCTAGAATAGGAGCACTTTTGTTGAACATTCTGTATCTGATTGTAAAGATAATTAAATGCAGATGTTAAACGTGAAGATCTCTTGTCTCGCTCTTGCATCGACTTTGGATACGTCAGTCAAAGGGAATTATTGACTTCACGACCTGTATTACTACATTTGAATTTTGAATCTGGCGCCAACACTGGCGCGGCAGCAAGACCTGACGTCTGAAGCAAGACCTGACGTCAGCAGCCCCCCTGCCCAGAGCAATGTAAACGGCCCAGTCTCGTTCACGCCCCCTTTAGTCCTCCAGGCTACGCCCATTTAGAGGAAGATTTGAACAGGAAATGTGATTGACGTAAGCTCCGAGGAGCGGGGGTGAGAACCACTTTAACTTTCCATGTTACAATATTCCCTCATTAAAAAACAGATCTGGAGTTGAGTTTGGATCCCCCCACTTTTCTTTATTTCCCTTTTAAAACATTTTCAAAATTTGTAAAAACAAACCCAAAACAAGTCAAAGCCTCCCTCTGGTGGTTGCATTGGGAGTTACATGTGGAACGCATAGTTTTAGCCCATAATACTCGTTTTACCTTTATAGTTTCTATAAATAGATATTTTTTTACAGTCTAAAGCATGACATGTAAAAACAAATGTTTTATGGCCAGACATGCTGACAAAATATTTATTCTTTAGCTAATCCTAACTATTGTCCTCATATAGACAAGAAAACCTGCCTTTAGGAGTCAACTGCAGACAAACAGGAGCTCAACATATGTCCTCAACTACAGGGGAACAGGGACACTCAGAGACCTCTGGGAGATCTGGGGTCGCAGATCTGAGCAGATGGGACAGGTGTGAGAACAGAAACAGCCTGCCTTCCTTCGCGGCTGCATTGGGATCTGAAAAGAGCAGATTTATAGTGTCCAAACACTCAAGGGGCAAGACCAACTCAGAGGGCGGTCTGCTCATGGAGGTAAAATAGTAAGAGGTAAAATCCTGCGGACATGCTTTTGGTCCAAGCCGGGCAGCGCTGGTGAATAATGCATTTAAAATGTTTTGTAGAAATATAAATTGTATGTCAACAGTGAGGCAACTCAACCTTTACCATTTCTTTGAAAATACCTACAGTATCAATGTTGTTTATTATTTTTCTTGTTTCCTAATTACTTACATACGGTGAAGTACATTAGGTTAGTAATGCTGTTAGGTCAGTTGGAATTAATTTTTATGCACCATTCTTATAACATATTATAATATTATAAATATATGCTTTTAGGATATAGTAAATAATCTTTTTTTATATAGCGTCTTTCACAGAGACTCGACTTACGATTGTGGGTATTGGTCTCCCTCTCCACACAGAGAGCGGGGTCGCCGGTACAGGAGGCGCATACCAGACCTATTGTACATGTTTTTAGTGCTAGGGGAAACCGGAGCACCCGGAGGGAACTTACGCAGACACAAGGAGAACATGCAAACTCCACACAGATTAGGACCCAGGACCTTCTTGCTGCAAAGCCAGAGTGCTATCCACTCAGCCACTGTGCCACCCAATTTTACGGTATATTTATATAATTATGTATATTCATTTTAACATAAAATAATATAAATTGTTGTTATACATTTGAAAACAGCAGAACCTAAGCCAATACTTACATCGTTATTTAATAAAGCTTGTGAACGTATCTGTTGTGGTTTGATTTGTTCACGACATTTAACTTTGACAACCCATTTTGAGAACTGAATATTTGTGATGAGACATTTCGCAGACAAGTCAAGAATTAGAATGTACGTGTCTGCTGTGGAGCCACGTGGAAGCATCTGGTACAACAAAAGCACGAATCTAAGCCAAATCGTGTCCAGATGTATTTATGTGTTTTGGCCCCATGTCTGTGCGAATAAAGCGTTCTTGCATGTAAATCATCAAGCGGCTTTTCTTTTCTTTGCCTCTGCAGTGAGCAATGTCATCAGCTAAACTTTCTTGTGGAGATGTGGGGAGCTGTGGAGTGGTCATTTGCCATAATTCAAGAGTGTGTGTGTGTGTGTGTGTGTGTGTGTGCCCATGCGTGGGAGACTCACAGCTGCCCAGCAAAAGGCCAAGCAGATGGACAGAATAATGACTATGATCAGACTTTATAGAGTAACACTCGTTAATGAGTTGCATTAAGGTTAATTTGTATGCCACTAACAAAGCCTGAATCATATCACATAATTAAAACACCAGCAGTGACTTAGTGCTCATAAATATACATCGATGACTGTTCAGGAGTCAGGCTCAAGGCACAGCTGTTGACGAGTTTCAGTCAAAAATGGTGGAAGAGTTTTTACCGACTGACTTTTTTCTGTTTGTGATTGTCAGAGGAGCGGAACCATGTGGCTTCTCTGCTCTACACTGATGCTCCTGGCGATCAGTGTTGGATTATGTGACCCATCGACAGAAACAAAAGGTGAGTTTCCATCTTATATTTATTAGCAAGGGTTAAAATTATGTTATAACTTTTCTAATTTAAATTGCGAGAGATGGAACTTTCAAAATAGTTGAGATTCTATTGTTGCTTTTTACATGCATGTTATTTTCATATCTTTAAATAATATTTTTTAGACATAAAAATGAAAGATAGGGGACAACCATCACTCAGCCAACCAACTCACAGGCCGAAGCGTTAAATAGCGAATCATGGAATAAAATATGTGTTTTTTAATCTGAGGAAGACAGACATTTTGGTTGATCTTTTCACAATCCAACGACTCAAAACTCTTTCTGTTGGGACAAAAAAACAATGTTATTTTTTAGATGGAAAAAAGTTTGGTGCCTCAGCTTTGACCCTGGTTTCCTCAACCATATGGTAGATCACTTTACTTGCAGCTTGGAACTGAATTCTACCTCTTTGGGGCATTTCTCTTGTTTTTAGGCACTTTTACCAACAACTGCATCTCAACCATTTGAATAAGGCCTATAATTCAAACTATGGGTTTAAAATGTGTTATTAGTGCTCCTACATCTTAGAATATCCCAAAAAGAAAAAAATATATACATTGCTTTCTTCAAGAAGTATTTAAGAGTATTAAAGGAATTATTAGGAGTATTAAACCCTTTAAGAGTATTAAAGGGTTTATGTTCTTTGTCAATAGACATTGATAGGCATGCACTAAAATGATACTGGCATTTTTTTAAATTTGCTGCAATACGGCTGTTTCCTAACTGATATTAGAACACTTTTTCAGGTTTTGTCCAATTGTTCCAAAAGAATGATCATGCAGCGCACATGATCAGATTTTTTAATGTTAATAGTTTAGCCTAACATGTACTTGGTGCAGATGGAAATACTACACGGTTTAAGGAACGCCTCAGACTGTCAAGTTGCAGATGTAATTTATTTATTCATAAACATGGGCCAGCCACAATGCCTTCATCAGATACATTTTCACCGATCTGAAAAAAAAAAAACTATTGTGACTTTGTTCAAAAAAACGTTATGAATACAAAATTGACATCTGTAACTTGAGAGTGTGATTTTCTGTGAGTTTCTTTACACCTTTTATAGTTTATGTTTACCAAATAAACAAAAGGTTGAGGATGTATTTATTCCTTTACATGTTAATCACAATTAAGTTCAGCCTCGGTTAGAGAAGAGGCGTATCTGGTGAATTATACAGTATGTTCGGATTCTAAACTTAGAAGTTCAAAACTAAAGCATGTGTTTACATTGTATCTACATATACAAATGCTCATATGTATCTTAACCATACATATACAATGATAATGCCTGACAATTTGGGGACACACTTCTAATTCCTTCACATAAAATCGTCTCCCTGGTGGGTAACAGACTGCATCAAAGTAGCCATCTCCAAACACTGGAGAAATGATTTGATGTCAGTGATAAGACTTCAAAAGCTATTGTGGTCTGTTGGCGTTTTGTTTTCCCCTTGTCCACAGGCTGCCGTCACAAAGTCCTTGGCGGCATATAGCTGGATCCTTGTAGCTCAAGTGGTACTGTGTGTGAAATGTTCAATGCAATTGCTGAAACCAAGTCCTTTTTACTCTATATGGTTGCAATTCCAACACCACACAAGTACGGCAAAACTTACTGTGGCTATTTCTTATTTACGGAGTGCAAAAGTTGACAGTTGTCTGTGTCCCTTATTGCCCAGACAGTTTGTTCACTCTGTGTGTGCCTTGGTGGGGCGCAGGCAGGCTATACTTTCTGAGATCTGAAGTGTCCCTTGTGGGAGATCCTCCGTGTGGATTTTTGTGAGACGACTGAGTCAGCTCTGAGCTTCCCTGGCTCTGCTCCTCTGTTGAGTGAAAAAGTACTTTCTTCAGTGCCACGGCAACATTTTGTCTCAGCAAGTACACTCGACACACACACATCTAATCAAAAATATGTTTTAGACTCATTCCCATGTTGCTATTATCACTAATTTGCTGAGATTAGAGTAAAAAACCAGGGCTGAAGATTAGAACAAAAAACTCAGCTTGGCTAATGTTATTGAAAGTTGCATTAAGTGCTAGTATTTTTCACAATACTTCATGCAGTTATTTGAAAATTGTATTCCGTTTTACAGCCAGGAGGAAGATTCTGCATAACATTACAATTGTTGTGATACAAACATCAACTTGACAAGTTCTTGCTATTTTTGTACCTACTCCTAAATCCATCTTGTGTACTCTGTGTTTTCTCGAATAGATTTCCGCCTCACTCCAAGCCTGTGTCAATATTTTGTCCTCTACAAGTACTGTGTCCACATTCTAGCAAAACCCAAATCAAATCTCTGCACACGGCACTCAAAATAAGCTGATTGTACCGGCATGAAAATACCTATAAATACATGTTTGCCCATGTGTGCGTTTATCTCCCGTAAATGTATCATAAGTCAAGTGCTGGCCAGTCGGTAAGCGCTGAATGCTGGCCCGAGGCAATATTTGAAGTCTTGCTGCCTCTCTGTTGTGCAGCTATCTCTGGGAAAACGACCAGGAATGTTCACTCGAGTCGGCCTCATTTGCCCAAAAGCACAGCAGCTATCTCTAACCTCTCCCTGGCTACAGTTTGTTCTCCCTTCTCATCTCTGAAACACCTATGGGCTATTTTCAGTAATTTTGTTGAATCATTACAACATCACCAGCATGCCGTTGCCCTACACAGGTTTTCATTACAGTAGATCCTCAGTATAAGGACTTTCATCTTCCTACTTACTTAGTGTGGAATGTCACAGTGCAACAGAATATTTAATAACTAGCACAGTATCATGTATTGCCTTCCTTTAGACCACACAACTCAATAATAACATGACTGGACCCTCTAACTGCCCACAGGTCGCTGCTAAGAGAAACATTACCATCACAACAAGAGAAGCAGTCAGAGAGCGCAGGCGCCAAGAGGCATAGTTTCAAATGTCTTTTTACATTTTTTTTTGCAATCTTGCCCCACTTCTAGAGAATTCATGTACATTTTATACAAAAATACATTTATTTAGTTATGATGCTAACAGGATGCTAACAGCCAGTCAGAGAACCAATCAAACCCTGCTGGAGGTAACTGCTTGTTGATTATGAATGATGTCTTGAATCCGCCTGTATTAAGGAATAGGCCACCGTTTTTACATACTGACATATGTTCTTACCTTACCTTAGACTAGTTGATATGTACCTGTCTGGTCTTTGTCCGTGAGCTCTGTCATGCAAACGGAGCACAAACAAAGCCTCTTCCACAGTCTGTATAGTAACAAATCAGCTCCCGTTAGAAGCTACCAAACTCTTCCACATGTTCCCTATTTAAATACAGTTACGTGATGTGTTACACTACTAAGTATAGTAACACAGAAATGTAACATGTCGATTTTCTAGGCGGATAAAAAAGGGGTACTATATTGTGAGGCATAATAATACGAGGAGCACTTTGTCCGCGCACTAACTCCTAAAGACTTCTCTCCCGCAGCGTGAGCATATCAACTAGTCTAAGGTAAGGTAAGAACATATGTCAGTATATAAAAACAGTGGCCTATTCCTTTAATGCTGTATGTCATTCTTGAACAAGCCAATGACCTACTCTACAAATCTGTATTGCTGACACAATATTTTTGACTCGAGCATCAAACAAGATCCACTGGTCCAGTGCCCAAGGGCTTCAACATCTGCTTCCTGAATCTTAGGAGCAAGCAGAATTTCTTTCCATAACATTTCTTTTTGTTAAGTGCCTTTAATAACATGGCGGCACAACCTCTGAAGAAAGTAGCTTTGAACATGTCTGAACTGAATAAACTAGCAACCAATCCCATAATTCATAGACACGGATTAATACAGCTACACGAAATGCATGGACAAAAGATTCAAATGAAGAGATTTTTTTTTCATTTTTTGTTTGAAATTCCAGGGTTGCATCGAAATTTACAGACAGTAGGAATGGGGAGCACACAGCACAAGACAAAATAATAACAACTCTATACTAAAATAATATATAATCTCTTAACTATAGCATAAAAAGAAGCAGTATTAATCTTAATCTTTAGCATAATAAGGAAAGAAGTCTATAATCTCCAACTTTAGCAAGACTTTATCTATTGCACATTATTATGCTGACAAATTATAGTCATGTTTAAAACAGTTAATTCTTTTGCAGATTATAGCAAATTACAAATCCCTTCATACAAATCCTTGTAGTTTGTGCATTTAACTTCAAAGAGCTTCCCATTTCTCTTCCTCTGCATGGTTTAGAGAGTGCCCTGCAGTGTGCTTCGTCGCTGTCAGTGGTAGCATCATTACCTGCTTTGGCACCACTCAGACATAACCCATCAAAGAGGAAGTGAAGGAGCCAAGACCATCCATTCACTTTACGCTACACACAGATACTAGCAGGAACCTGGTGAGAAACTCGCACTCTGTTCTAATTAGTCTGTGAACAAGCAAATGTGTAGCTTTGATCACAGTTTGAGAGGAAAGGAGGTGCAACTCCACTCCATCGCTCCTGCCAAAAGTGCAAAGTGCTGGATCTGACAACACGCTAGTACATCTCCAATTTAGCTTATCTGTCGTACATGCAAATATTTTGTTTAGCAATTTGTGTAGGAGCAAATCCTGTCTGAGAATATTTTGATGAGTTGAAAACATGGTTAGATTAGATCAGGGGTGCCGAAACTTTTCAGTAAGAGGGCCACTATCATCAATCATTTATTTTAAGGAAATTCAAAGTGCTTCACAAGAGCAATTGAAAAACACTGATCAGAATGCAAAAGAATGCAAAAAGTCAATGAAATATGCTTCTCTGTTTTAACATGAAATATTGTATAAGAGTGTGGGGTTTAAAACTCTTATTATAATGTGGGTTTCAAAGGGAAGAAAAAAGCAGCAAATGGTACAAAAGAGAATGCACAGCAAAAAAAGATTTGTTTTCAGCCTACTTCTGAATATGGGCAAAGCCTGTCTCAGAACCTCAGGAAAACCGTTCCATTTCCCAGCTACTTTAGTTCATCGGAGTTGTCTAGGGGCGATGACATGGATTTTAACACTAGAAGACCCGTAGAGATGCCATTTGGTACTTATACCTAAAAAGCCCACCAGGGTGCCAAATGACTCCAAGGATTTTAGCTAACAAACTTAATCACCTTTGAACAGCTTACTTTACTGTAAATAAGACAATTATCACAGGCTGAGCTGAAGTTGTTTCACTTTGCCATCTTAGGGGTAGGGGGAGGATCTGAATAGTTAGTTTTTCTCCAGTGGCTTTAGAGCATTTCTCACATCAGACTTAAAGTTCTATTAACTATTAGTTCAACCCACACAACATTGAGTCTTTTGTGCACATCATTGTAGCAGTTTCTTATTGCTATGAACACTTTACAAATGCTTTTGTTCATGGATCAGCTACTTTCATACAATTCTCTGCTGTTATATAACATTATCATTTGTTTATGTCCTGTCAGTCAAAATGAAACATATTTGTGAAGCTGAATAGTCATTCACTATAAAACTAATCGTCCTCATTTCATTGCTTTAGTCACATAATTGTTGAACTAGTTCAAAATCTGTCAAGCAAATTTCATGCATTCCTTTATCTTTTTCTATCCTGAAAATCTCTCCTAAATTGAACAATTGCGCTCAGGTGAATTTCAGCTTTCACTCTTGAAGAGGTGTGTGTTATATTGTTTACATTTGTCATAGTTTGTTATATGCAGTAAATATGTGAAATACATACTACTTTACTTTGCCATCTTAGGGAGAGGGGGGGGTCAACACACAGGTTTTTCTTTGGTTAGTGAGATTTATTGATTTTAAATGCTACAAAATAAGAAAAATGCTAATAATTACAAAGTATATACAGTATATGCATTCTCAGGCTCCACAGTCCTTGCACTGCCATGGCATCTCTTTTCTGCATTGTCCACATTTGCATCTGTAGCAGTCGACACGCACAGAGGCATGATTCTTCTTGCACTGATGTTTCACCTGACACAGGGGTCTTTTTCCAGGGCTTGATGTGGAGGGTTTCTTCCTTTTGTCCCTTTATTGCACCAACGTATTGTTGCTTTATTGCACCAACTGTATCCATGCATTTTATTGATGTAACCAGGGACTGCAGATGGAAACTAGCTGTTTAGCTATAATCTGGTGCAGAACATATCTGTCTTTGAGCTTAATGTCTCTGTACACTGTCCCTTCAAATAAAGACTAAACTAACTAAACTAACTAAACGTGACAGTGAGCCAATTCTCTTGCAAGCTCCACCAGAAAGTCCACCCGTCTCTCCTGCTTCCCAGTACATGCTTGATAAAGAACATGTGTGTTCAAGACTGCCATATCAATCATGTTATAGAACACGGCGACTGGCCAGCGCCGTGTTCCTAAAACATTAGATTTCAAAAACACCTGCATTTTGCTCCTTATCAGCTGATGTCTCTGCTATGCCCACAGGAGAGGAACGTAGCCTAAAAGAACAACAGAAACTTCATAAAGTCAGGAAAACAGTACTTTTGTTTGGTATATCATTTTTTTATGTTTTGAAAGACATTTACTGCAGGCTGTCTCTAACCTTTTCATGCCTTCGAAGCAAGAATCAATAGTGACCTTCACACAAAAGCTGCATCCGTAACAGACCTTGAATACAACTTTTGGCATTGTGTGGTCAGATTCACAAGCCAACAAAGCCGTTTACAGACAGCCCACACGGCGAATCTCCAGGTGCTCTTCTCGGGCTCAGTGCTTTGCACCTGCTAGTAAAGTCTGTAACTTCAGAAGAAGAAAAAAAACAGTCCAATTGGAGTTAACACTTGGAGCCCGGAAGGATCATCTACAGGTTGAGAAAAAAGGTTGTAGGGCAGTTAACTTTTACCCAATGTGCACAAGTAGTGCTTGTAACATGCTTGTAAAAACTAGTTGTGACTAGTTGTGAGAGCCAGAAACTAGATCAACTGTAGTTCATGTTGTATGGTTTCAAAGATATGCACACCATTTCAGATTTCAAACTTTGAAATAACATCAAAGCCCAAATGCCACAAAGTCAGCCTCTCCAGAAAATTCAGTTGAACAGCCCTGGACTAAGCAAAGATATTTTCAGCTGAAAAACATATTTACAACAAGGTTAGGGATACAGGCGGGAACATCACAACTGGGAGGAGGTGGCTGCTGTCATATCGCTCAAATAAATCATTATGACTTATTTCTGTCTAATGCCTTGAGCTCCTCAGAAAAGAGCGAGACAAGTTTTTGGTGCCCGGAAGAACACCTTTCTCATAGCCTGTGCCCTTGGCCCCAAAGAGATCAATTAACTGTGGATGGCAGCCATTCACAGGGTTGCTTCTATACCTGTACTCAGGCTACATACTCCTCACATCTCACATTCCCCCTGGGTGCTCTGGCAAGGCACCCTGACAGACAACACTTTTCCCCCTAACCCCATCTGACAGGGCGAGAACATATCCATCAACTGGAGGCTACCACGTCTGACAAGTGTGGTGCTATAGACAAGTCGTCAAATCGGCCTGTGCTCCTCTTTGCCATCATTTCATCTGTTTTCCCCTAAGACATGCTTTTACTTTTCCAAGTTTGGAATCAAAGTGCTTGAAATGTATTGGATCAGAGGAGAAGGGATGAGTGGCATTGAAATACAGCTCATAAATACTCAACTATGCGTCTGATCTCTTTCCTACAGATGAACTGTGCCCGTCCGTGCAAGTGGATGAGTGGAAGTTTCCCCAAGCGGCCAGGCAAAATATCACAGGTGAAAAAAGATGGCAAAGCATCTGTACTTTCTGCTCTAGTAATCTATTCATGAGGCGTCTGTTCTCTCTGCAAAACATGTACATACGTGTAAAGTGGATTAAATGAATTAGTTTCTCACAAGTGGTTCAAAAAGCCTGTTTGTGAAGTATTTGACATGTATGGACATACTGTACATATGTAATCTGCATAAACTGAAGTGTCTATAAATACATAATTCTGAAAGATCACGCATGTTGTCTGATGCATGTGTTGATAGGTTTTAATCTGGTGCGGCGCTTCTCCCTCCTCAAAAGTCAAGATGTAAAGAAGATCCGCAATCCAAAGGGACCAGTCACCCTGCGCCTGGGAAAGACTGCCCTCGTCCGCCCCACTGAGTAAGTGCGCCAACATCTTTGACTTAACAGCAAAGGCCTTTCTCTTCAGAATACTTCAGAATACAGAAAAGAGGACACCGTTTTGAAATTGAGACTAAATGCAAACTAAATGGCCAAAATGATCATATACTATACTCACCTGTGATCTAGGTCTAGGCCATGTGGAGTTCACAAACTTGTCAGAGCCAGAAAATAAGCATTCAAATATATACACATATACATTTGGGGCATTAAATCCCTATGCAGTTTTTATTTTTTGACTGTCACCCAAGAAATTGACATCGCTAATTTGCAGTCAATAGTTTTAAAATTTAGAATTCTGCTATGAGTGTGATATCATGACATCATACTACAACAGGACTGAGATGCTTTGGAGAGAAAAGGCGCTACATGCTTGTGCCAGAAGTTCTTGATATTATCTGGACTCCTAACATCTGGTCTTATAAAGTCTGTTTTTGAAGAGAGAACAATATTCTAAAAATCAAAAAAGTCATTTCCAAAAAATGTTCTTTAATCATGTACTACTTTGTACTAAACATGCCAGGACTAAGACTCCAGGTAAGTAAATGTAGTTAAAACACTGTATATGTTATTGCTACATATATAACAACAATGTGTAGTTTAATTCTAAAAATGCTGATAAAAGATAAAGGTTTCAATAATACATTTTGTTGGAAAAGCAAAAAACACTGAGCTGGTCTATTTGTCAGAGCTTATTTCCGTTTCCAGCCAATTTTTGTGTCGTTTTTTTGTTTTTACTTTGACAACATGGCCTCCAAAAATTATAGATTCACATTGCTTTCCAGTGAGTGCTGACATGTTGTAATTATGTATGAGGTTATTTCACTGTAAGAGCAGCCATGATTTTGCTTTCAAAGGCGAGTCCATAAGATACAGTAATTCTATTGTGTAATTTAATAACAATGTAGGCAAGAGTCAAGTCTCAAAGCAGAAATTTGGATTTGAACTCCAGCTACAATTGTGTCAGTAGTAATACAATATTCATTTATGCTGATCCTTTGCCAAAGGTGAAATACAAAAGTTCTGAATGTGCAAATGTAGGATTTAAGGCATTTTAAAATTTTGAGTATCTGCACTTTGTATTATTCGAAGCCGTAGTTGTAGTAAAAGTGATAGAAGGTGAATAAAGCCATACACAATGATTGAGAAAAGCGCAAATCCACCCCCATAAGGTTTGTTTAATATTTTTGTATATGTCCATGCAGGGAGCTACGGCATTGCAAAGTCTCTTTCATTTACCATTTTTGTTAAAACATAAAGAAGAATTAGAATATCTTATTAACTAACATCAATCACAAGGCAAGTACAGTGTTAGTATTCAAGACCTGTGCCTGTGTTAAAGCAGGGGTACTTAACTTTTTGTCATGAATTATCTCCCAATTGTCTCAAGAGTTAGAGACTTGTAAAAGTAAACATTATTGTGGAGAAATAGAGGAAGATAGTCCTTTATTTGTCCCAGAGAGGGGACATTTCCCTTCAATGAATACATATCAATGCATTCCGAGTACTTTACTTCCATGCTCCTTATGGGCAAAGTGGGTAAAGTGTCTTGCCCAAGGACACAACGGCAGCATGGGCTCTAACCCATGACCTTCAGGCTCCGAGGCCAATGCTCTACCAACTGAGCCACAAACATGCTGTCTTCGTCTCAGTATCTTTTACATATTTGTAAGAAAGATGTCTTCGAGTCACAGTTTGACGCTTTGGGCTGAGAGCTGATTGGCTGAGTGATCCTCTTTTTCTCTTTTCTGTCTGAAAAGGGTGATCCCAAGATGTGAAAATTAGCATGTAAAAAAAATAGTTATTGAACCAAACTGTTTCAAAAACTAGTTACATTGAGTTGCTGTGGGTAAAATGTTAATGTTATTTCTTTGCAACTTCTACCTTTTACACCATAACACCAAACTTTATTTTGCACAGTACTTTCTGTTGACTTTTAACATTGATTTTTATCTTTCCGAATACATCTACCCAAAATCCAGCTTGAACAAACTCAGATCGATATAAAATGACACCCATTAACACCAGTTAGAGAGGAAACGCTCAGTTTATCCACTTGCGTTTGAAATTGCAGGATCATTAGCTGTGTCAAACCGTGGAGGCGGACAACAATCAAGACTTTTATGGGATGTTGAGCTTATTTCTGGTGAAAGGTGTTTTTATCCTGGATATAAGTGCAGATATTACCTCCAGGCTGATGTGGTTACATAAAGGGTGAATAATCAGTGTTTGTGGATCTGTCAGCTGTTTTCGAGTTTTTATCCTCTCCCTTTTGTCTATAGCATTAACTGTCAAACGGAAATAAGTATACAATTGTTCACATGATTTAACTAGGCACTTTGAAACTTTAGATTTACAACAACACAACTGATTTGACGTGGGCGGACAATTCTGTATACGTGTATCCAAAACCTTCTCTCATGAATATTTGAGTATATACAGTCAAAACACAAAGTACCACATTTGAATTAAAACCAGTTTCCAATGGCAAAAAAATTCACTTTTTTGGGTGATTATATGAAATTGTATACAAACCGGATTTTTGCAAAAAGGCTGAACAATTGCGCTCTGAAATGGTTCAAGTTTAAATTATGTCCATTAATATTGAACTACATATTACTTAATACAAAAATGCAATCATGTTTAAAAATGACTTGGGTGGCATCTCTGACTGCCACCCCCCTGACCCAGAAATGGATTAAAGGGTAGATAATGGATGGATGGATGGATGTTTAAAAATGGAATAATTTGAACTGTCTAGTAACCCTATCTCAAGAATATTTCAATCTTGTCAAGTTCAAATTTCAAATAAAATGTGGGATGTATAATTTTTGTTTTCCCCAATATTAGTGATGATGCAATGTGGTGATGTGAGCCATGTTTCCTGACACAGTTCTGAATAGATGTCTCAAAATAACATGTAAATGATGTGATTCTCTCTGGGCTTATCACTTTGAATGCACTCCACACAGTTTGGCATAAGAACATCTATTCATAATTTATCATCTGTCCAGGGGGTAAAGTGATTCCTGGTGTTTGTCTGTTTGTGTTTGAGCAACATAACTCTAAAAGCTTTGGAAGATTTAGATGAAATTCAGGAAACGAGCAAATGGTCCAGTGAACTGCTGATTTGATTGTTTTTTGTTTTTGTTTTTTTGACTCAAGGGTGAGTTAGATCTCCTGCAAATGTGTCCTAAAAGGTTCTATTGTTGTTTTTGGTTATACTTTCGGGTTTACCACGATCGTTTTTTGTAACATAAAAACAAGCAGTATCTCTGTCATGAAAAAGTTAACAGATCATTCTGAAAACCTGTGTGCATGGGTGTTAAGGATGTACTGTATATGTATAATTCTGTATTCTCCGATTAACATTTAAATGTGTTATTTGTTTATTGAGCGTGGCTAGCTCTGATGCTTCTCTCGCACAGACAGAAGTAGTGACAGGTGCCTTCTGAAAGTCCGTTGTATTTGCTAAGTAACAAGCAAATATTGTGTAGCCATGGACAGCGGTCATTGTTGGTTTGAGAGGTCCAGTATCAAGAAAAAAATATCGGTAGAATGTTTTGAAATTACATTCAAATCAATGGAGCGTTCTACTGCTGCCGTGAGGAGCTGAAGAAAAAATAAATGATAAGTAAATATTTGAATATATTTGAACATTTAGATTAATACTCAAATGAACCTCGAATATGATTTGTGTGCAAAAGTCAAAGCCTTATAGCAGTAAAGACGGCATATTTCCGAGCGTGGCTGTCATTTGCTTATACATTACCTTCCCATGGCTCTTTTGCATTCTAGGGATCCCACTGAATACATTTGCGGTCAGCCTTTCTGTATTTCTACTCCCAAATCTCATCTTTCAAGTTCAACATCTTGCTCACCTTTCCTTTCCACTTCTCTCCTCTTTTGTTTTGACATCCTGTAGTTGGCCGTTTTTCCCTGGGATCTTCTCTCCGTCATAAATCATTGTCACCCCACTTCTTGCAGAGGGAAACTGGCTGCCAGCATCAACAATTCAGTGAAAAGAGAACAGAGAGAGTGGATATTTTGAAGCATACTCAACCATGTTAACTGTATATCACTGTTTGTGGACCTCTCCTGTGCAAGAAACTCCACAGCACCTTCTTTCAAACGAATTCGCGCCTGTGTTTTTCTCCATGCTCAGATGCCCTTGACCGAAAACTGGAGGGATGAGCTCTGCCGGACTGGTTCTGCTATAAAAATTAATGCCATGGGGTTATACACAGCATGATTTTCCATTGAAATAGCAGTAATAGCCCACAAAGAAGAAAAATGAAAATAGAAAACTGCCAATCTCTTCACACCACTTGCTCACAAAACAACCGATGACTAAATCATGGGCATATCAAAGAGGTGAAGAACTAAAAGTGGTCTTGAATTTTCCAAAAGCGTGACTCACTGCAATTCTAGTGCCTGCTGGTTGTTTTCTTGTCTCCATTTAAATGCAGCGTTAAATCATCAAAAGAACGAGATGGCGTTCAAATCCTTTTCCATTTCTCCACATGAGTAAAAAGGGGTGATTTATCTCATTATGTCCTGTCCAAGCAAATATTAGTCCGTGTGTATCGGGTCAAGGAAAGAGCACCCTTTTGAAAACTGCTGTCAGAATAAAAACAATTCAGAAAGCTGCAATTGTGTTTAGCAGAAGAATCGACTCGTGATGAAAAGTGTCCGTGTCATTTTGTCATTGTTCTCGGCCAATGGAAATGAAATAGGAAGAAAAATCGGCCAATCAGCGACATATTTAGTTCAACAAATCAGTTTAAAAAGGTGACCAAGATAGATATAGAGAAAACCATGTTTTCCCCAGAGTGATATGAAACCAATTGATGCATCAGGCAAGATGGGAATAGTTATTTATCTTCTGCTGCTGCTTCATGATTGAAAGAGAAACATCTAAAATTTGACCACTTTACCACAAAAACTGACTTTTCCACCGGGTGATCACCTTTCAAGCCTTTTATGAAAAATACTAGCTTCAGTTTTCATATGGGCCAGCATGTGTGTGACCTTTCTGCTTTGTGTTGCAGTCAGGTCTTCCCTCGTGGCCTTCCTGATGACTTCACTCTAATCTTCACCCTGGCTCTAAAGAAGAGTGCCCTGCGGGACGCCATCTACCTCTTGCAGATTTCAGATGAGCAGGGATACCCACAGGTGCCGTCAGCTGCCATTCTCACGATACTTTCAAGTCTTTATCACATATTTCTGCAGCTGTCTGTTTGATTTTATCTACTGCCAAAACTTTTGCCTTAAACAATCAAGTGTTCTCTATGTTTGCACGTTTTATCTATTCTGCCACATTTTCAAATATGGTTTCTTCATTCATTGTACTGCCTTATTCAGTTCCAGATTCAATAATCTGTCGTTTTGCAGATTCCATTTGTGACCCTTTGTGAAGCTAAAAAATAACTACATACAGTATTAATGCATTTGACAAATTGGGAATATGGTTATTTTTCCATATGTGGGAGTTCTGGGGAGTGGCTGTTTGCAGATAGAAGCTTCTAAATATGACATGGCAATTTACATTTAGAATAGTAAAGTCCACTGTTGATGCACCAGCACTAAAACAGCTGCACAAGGAATAGATTGGTAAAAAAGTGGAAAAAGAGGTGAGATGTGACAGAATATAGGGACACAGTCTAAATGCAAACAGAACAAAACCACATATTGGCTCAGCTTTTGTATGTGTAACATTACTCTGAAGCAACAACTCATTTAGTGCATACAAGTATTGTCTGTGGCTTCCTTGTTTCGATCGGCATGTTGTGAGGTGTTGTGATTTGTTTGGTACCCCCTGTTGATTCACTTTTCACTTGTGCTATAGTGAAAGTGATGGTTCATTCACATGATTTTTATTTAAACAAATGAGCGAAAAAAGAACCTGTCTGCAAAACTTTTGACATTCAAAGTTACATTTAAATCTATTTTGGTATTGTGCTTTACTGGCAGTAGATCTGAAATCTACCACAATTCTTTAGTGTGTGGTAGTCTTTTCAGACAATGTTGGCAGATACTGTTTGATATTAAAGCTGGGGTACCTAAGAAAGTCCCAACAGAAAGTCTCTTATAGAAGCACAATGCCATGAACAAGTCAGACCACACCATGCTTCCATCCTCTTAGAAGACATTAGAAAATTAGTAAATGTATCTTTTGGACCTTGTAGCCCTGAGAGTCACTATTGGACACAGGGCAGAGAGCTGATTGGCTGATTAAGGCCTGATACTCTGATTTAAAGAAGTCCTAGAGCAGTGTTTCCCAACCTTTTTGTAGTCCAGGCACACCTTTTTGGTTAAAAACACTCACATGGCACACCACGGCAGAAATTGAAATCAAGTATGGAAGCAAAGTAGTTTTAATCAAAGTAGATATATAGAAGATTAAACAAGTGCAAAAAAATCTTTCTAATCTTCTCAAATTTTTTTCTTATCACATTATTTTGACCAATTGTGTGATGGAATATTTCCCAAGGCACACCAAATAACATCTAAAGGCACACTAATGTACCACGGCACACTGGTTGAAAAACACGTCCTAGAGGTAGAGTTGTGATATGTAAAAACTGTTTTGAGAGTAAAGACCTAGTGCAATGTTTTTTTATTACACTTTTATTTTTTTATGTTTTTATTTGTGTGCCTATGACAGCTTAAAGCAGTCATAGTCACACAGGTCATTTGACTTAGTGTATGTCTAATAATATTTTTATTTGTGTGAAATAGCTCTCTGTGGAGCTCAATAGTCCCGAGGCGACCCTGTCAGTGAGGGCCGTGGGAGCAGAGCCTTCCTCTGAGCTGGTGAGCTGTGACTTCAGTGGGGAAGGGGTCAAGTCTCTCCTGGACCTGCGCTGGCACAAGGTGGCGCTGAGTGTGGGAGCGACCTCGGCCTCGCTGCATGTGGACTGCACCTCTGTAGAGACCGTGGACCTGGCGCCCCGCGGACCTGTGTCCACTCAGGGACACACTCTGCTGGGGGTGCGTGCTGTGGACGCCAGCTCCACACAGGTACGAGAAGAAAACCTCTATTATAAATACAGTTGTGTTCATTTTTCAGAAGTCTATTTCAGGTGCCAAAATGGGAACGAAAGATTGAAAGATTAGTTTCACAAACCCGCCACCCGCCATGACTATTTTGTTTGAAAGTCCTTTCTATTGGCCAACTTACCCTCATGAGAAAATAATGAGGCCATAGAATGACTTTTGATAGTTACCGTAGTTACCAAGATTTTCAATTGCCTTGGTCATTTTATTCAATTGGCTCTTTTGAATCTTGTGACATAACATGAACGCAACCTATTGATAAAGACAGTCAAAGTTAATGTGTAGATTTTAATGAGAGAGATACATTTTCAGATGACGATTACAACTTTTAACAATACATTTGGAGGGTATTGAATGTGATTTAACTCTTATTATAAATTAATCTACACAACTTAGCAGCAAACTTCTGAACATTGTAAAGCCCTTTGGGTGACATTGGTCTGTAAAATTCACTACATAAATAAACATTACTCACTTACAAACGTACAGTATATAGCCTATAATCCTATTTATAACAATTAACTAAAAGGATTTGTCCTCTTTCATACATCTTCTAGGCAGGACAAAAGCAGTTTCTCAAAAGAAATATTTTCAGATTTGAAACTAACTCAGATTTGACTTCTGGTCCAATTACCTTTTTTTTCTATTTCTAATTGACAGTAATCATGCAGCTGTTTGTCCACATCTTTGTATGAGGCAGATCATTGCCACTAAAAGTCCAATCATCTTGATGCCGATTAAAGTACCTTTTGTATCCCTTGAAAGTTATTGATGCTGTGGCTTACTATTTAAACCCCAGGCATTCTCATTGCAGCGATGGTCCATTTCAGCCACAAACAAGATTACCTGGAATAAGCCGATCATGAGGAGGGACTATTATTGCAGTAATCTCTGCACTTATCCTCAATGATCATTTAGCCGTATAGAGAGATGCAAATGTCTGTTTACCCACAACTTAAGGCTTAAGTCCTTTAAATCTTCTTTGGTTAAATGTGTTTAGCCAGATGTTTGTTTTGTCTTTTAGATGGATATTCAACAGGTGATGCTGTACTGTGATCCAGCACTGGCCCGTGAAGAAGCCTGCTGTGAAATCCCTGGAGCTAGGGTGAGTTTATCAATAATGAAGCGTGTGTGTGTACGCTATCTGTCTGTCTATTTGTCTATCTGTCTGTCTGCCCGTCTGTGTGTCTGCCTGGGTGTCTGTCCGTCTGTCTGCCTGTGTGTCTGTCCATCTGTGTGTCTGTCTGCCTGTGTGTCTGTCCATCTGTGTGTCTGTCTGCCTGTGTGTCTGTCCATCTGTGTGTCTGTCTGCCTGTGTGTCTATCCGTCTGTGTGTCTGTCCATCTGTGTGTCTGTCTATCTGCCTGTGTGTCTGTCTGTCTGTCTGTTTTTGTCTATGTGTATCTTCCTGGCCGAGTTTGTGAATTTGAAGCCAATTTAAAGCTACAGACCTTTATCCATCTCAATGAAGCAACCACATTGAAATAAGCCATGTATAGAAAAGGCACAGCGTCATGGAGACCACAAAGGTGCATATAATGAGTAATTACACTAACTACAGAAGGTCAACCATTAGGAGTAATAAGGACTAGGAAGGGAGGCATTTTAACGATTTTGCAGCCTTCCTGCTTGGAGTCTTGTCTTCACGTTGAACAGTAGCTATTCACCACACATAGACAATCAAAAGCCGTCTGGGAGTGCTCTTGAGGTGAAAAGTGCATAGTCCCTGCAGGAAAAAGGACAGAGTATTGTAATATTGATTAGGATTTAGGGGCAAGAGGAAGCCAGTTGTGTTTAGCTCAGGGCGGGTGTGCTGCAGGCCTCCCCGGAAGCACAGTTTAAATTTAAAATGAGAAATGATGAAGCATACGTATGTACGCCCACACACAATAACAGGAGAAAACGCTAACTGCACAATAACAAAAAACTATTAGAAAATGATGTAGTGTCAAACTCAACTTTAATAATAGACGGTGTTGGGCTGAGGCAACTTATTATTTTGTGCATGAAATATGATTTATTGATTAAATACATGATGGGGTCCATGTCGAAACTTTTTTGATATTAATACTAAGTTTCTTTTTTTCTTTTTTTTTGTGTGTTTCTTCAGTGTCCACCAGAAGCCTCCAAGAGCCGCCGCGCTGCTGAGAATGACTTACTGGAAAATACCTTCAGTCAGGTAAGGCAATGTATTGTGTTTCCTTGTAACACAAAAAAGGGTGACTATGTTTGTGCATGGAATATATGTCACATTAAATCTACACCTCTGTGTTTCTCTGAGCTGGAGCCTTTCTTAAAGACTATGGTTTCCAAAATGTCTATTTTTTTGTTTAAATACTGAATTAATGTATACATGGATGCTAATGTCACCCTCTCCACAAATATGGTTGCCATGATTTAAGTTTGATTTAAGTTAAATTCAGTGCACACTTTATAGCCCTGAATCAAAATAGTAGCTATCTCTGAGGAAATAACAATTTAAAACAGTTCAAGCACAGGAAATGCAACAATACAAAACTCATAGAGACATTGGTCCATACGGGGCGTACTGTATGACTAATGTCCATGAAGGTTCATAGATGTCCACAAATGTCCTTTATTTCTGATTTTATTATGTAATTTATTTCCCCTGCATCTGTTGCAGCTCTACTTCCTGCGTGTGATTACCTGCCTTGGCTCTATGTGCATCATTTGGGCCTTTTTATAGATATAGAATTGCAATACAGATTATATTAAAAGTTAAACATTTATCATCATGTAAGAGCTATTTCACATTGGCCTCAACCAAAACAATTGCATATGGCACACACATCCACATAAATTAATGGCAGAGCTGTGTTAGCTTGTTTTTTTTAACCATGCAATACTGGTTTGAAAGTACACACTTTACAGTAACTAAGTATTACACACCCAGCACTGACCCGAAATCTTTTAAACTGTCTCCAGGCAAAATGCTGCTTTCTTAACTTCTGTGACCTAAAACATGAAAGCTATCATATGTCCCATCAGTATTTGCTTGGACATTGTTTTATCGCCCCACTTTCTATTCCGGACTCATATGGAAGTTGAAAAGTACGCTCCAATCCATCACACGTGGCTTACATACAGCGCTGACATGCCACTCTACCCGTAACACTTTGCACAGAATGGCAGTTTTGTCTTGAAAATCTCAAAAGAAAAAAGAATGGTTCTGTACGACTCAAGTTCCCTTCAGTGGTAGCGATAGTTCTAAATGTCTGCAGGCTACAGCGAATGCATGACAACGAGGTCCTCATGCAGCATTTGAGAAAGAATATTTCATAAATTTCTGCTTGTCATCTGATTTATCTAGCACAGCATGAAGCCAATTTATTATATGTTTCCCCTGACAATAGTTTCATATATCATATTAATAGCATTTATATCGAGTGATCTATTCATTAAAGATTCAGGCACGGTTCCTTCTTTGGAGAATTAACTTATCAATTCCAGAGCCGTTTTTAAGGAGACTTTTAATTCAAACAAGGCATCTTTATTCATCAACTTCTGGGCTTGTATTTGCAGAAGTAGCCCAACATGCAGTAAGCAGTAGCAGTAGTAGTAGTGGTGTGGTGGTGGCATTAAAAGTTGTAGCAATAGTTGTTGTGGTAGTGATAGCGGTGGTGGTAGTAGTAGTAGTAGCAATAGCAATAGCAGTATTAGTAGAAATAGCAGTAGTTGTAGCCATTATTGTAGTGGTAGTGATAGTGGTGGTAGTAGTTGTAGCAATAGCGGTGGTGGTACTAGTAGCAGCAGTAATAATTAATCTCCATGTCACGTTCTGATAATATTGTTTTGTATTTGATATACTGTATATGTTTTGTTTGTGCACTAATAAAGCCGTGTGAATAATTGAAAGTAAAATCTTTCTGTAAAAAACCTCAAATTGTTTCATTTGATTCACTCTATTATTTTTACCCTACTCATTTCTGTGTGCATTTCTTTGTGTTCACGTTGCGTTCATTACCAGGGGTATTACATAAAACATCCCAGAAAGACATTTCGAAGAAGAAATCTGGTTTAAATCCAAACAAAAGCTATGGCATGTGTGTGGAGATGTCCCACAGTTGCACAAATACAATTATATCTTATCGTCTGTGCTGTGTGAAAATTATTTTAGCTTTTATCAAATTCTAAAGTTTTGATGACAACATAAAAAAACACACAATTCAACATAATTATTGTAACAATTATTGACCAAACAATAGGAACAACATAAATATCCTTGGTCTGATTGTGACGATTCCACTTAAATGCTGAACGATGGTATAATTATGTTAATTTGCCCAAACATTATTGTTACTCACATTTGCATTTCAAATAAATCAATTTAAAAGTAAAAAAGAAAGCAATTTTCACTCTTGGAATAAGACTAAACATACTCGTTCTATAAGCAAACATTTAACTTTGAGAACAATAGACATTTTTTTTTCTTCTATTCCTCCTTTTTTGAGCTGCAATTTTTCAGTTTGTACAATCGATAAATGTAATCATGTTTACACCCCTATACATTCTTCCCATCCTAATGATTTTCCACAATTGAGTTAAAACTTTCAGAAACTAAACATGATGACAACAAACATGACAGATTCTTAGAGCATGATACGTTTCACAAATGTGGTATTTTTAGTCCTTGTTCGGGAAGTTTGACTACCGGGAATAAGTCAAGCTTGGGTCAGCTGTTGAACTATGCTATGAAAATATCAAGCGGTGTATACAAAAAGCTGCTCCGGATATAAAGGTAATTCGTATTGTCTGTATGTGGGGCGCAGCTGCTCCTGCCTTTTGAGGGATTACAAATTTCCTTCTCACTGCTCCTTATCACGCTGCACTGTAAACCTTATCTCACTGGCTTTCAACTCTACTAAAAGGTCACCAGCTCTCTGAAGACTAAAACAGATTTCTGTGGGTTGTATGTGATTTTCTTCGGTCCAAAACTGCCCATGGGGTATTTTCTCTGTGTGTTCTGCCTTTAGACATATCCTCAGATATTTAAAAGGGCTTTCTCATGCTTGCATATTCTTCTTTTATTGGCTTTGTATCTTGATTTATAAAGTTGGCACAGCGGGACACATGTCTTGTATTTGCCCGAGGACTTCAGGAGGTTCTGCACTTTACATCTCTCTCCTTTGCTATCGGCTTTCATCTTCAGCTCTCTCTGAGAATACAAAAATAACTGTTAATGACCCATGCGTGAAGCCAACTTGGCCCCCATTTTGACTGTCTTTGTTGTGTGGGTCTGATGCAACTCAGGGTAAGAGTGTTCCAGTTGAGTGGGATGCGCTGCAGATGCAACAGGAAAAACAACAGCTTGCTGTTGCCAGAGTTGTCATGTGACATTTGTTGTAGAATTTTAAAGATGTGGATCCCTGCCATTCCTGGGTACATCTTTGAGAAGTGCAAGAGTTGCCATGGAGTCACTTTAACCTGTATTATGCAAGTCAGCTGCCAACTAGTCACTAAAAGCAATCAAATGTCAATGAATACAAGTGATGTCTGCCATGGAGCTGTCAGCAGTGACCTGCAAGAACACAACAGACACTGCACCCGCATTCCAAAAATGTTTAACCTGGCACTGCATGCAGGAGTCTCATTGATTCTGCCATATAACACAGACTAATGCACAATGTTAGTTTTCACTGCTCACAATGCGTGCTTGACAAGGACATTTTTTATTATTGTAATTTTAAACATATGTTATATGTGTCCCCATAACGTGTAGTAGTAATATATGTACAAATGATTTAATTGACATGATTCATAACATTTATGTACAATTTCCGAGTAGATTATCCAATAATAGAATCCAAACAGAGAGTAGAATGAGGTTCTTGTTTGGGTTGCCAGCTTATAAAGTGAAATTTTGCTGGTTTTGGTTCCATTTTTTGTTGTTTGGGTTGTAGTGTGTAGCTACACCCCAGCACTTAGATTGCATCAGTAATAAGTCCTCGGAAGCTACATGTGTCACAGGCAAAAATGTGATTGTAATTGCTTAAAGGATTTTATTATATCTCATATCATATCATTCATATTACATAGGGTCTCTTTAAACATATAGAATCAGGTTATTTGAGAATAACTTGAAAGACTGATGGCTCCAACTTTTTTTTCTTTTTGCTTTCAGGACATTTTTGGCTCTAGAGATGCTGGACAGAAGGTAAGGGCTCAGATTTCAAAGTAGAAAATATCAGAAAAATTCAACTTTGAAAATATTGGATATTTTGAACATGCCTGTGCCGAAATAAAAATAAAAAAAAACACCTCAAAGCTCAAAATCAGGCGCTAAAACCTCCATCCATATCCCCTCTACCTGCGTTCAAAGGCACACCATTTTGAGCCCTAAATTGCCTCTAGCCTGAGATGCAGGGTTTTTTCCTACTGAGTGCATAGAAAAATACCAGAACAGTGCGGTATAATAATGTTTATAAATAAAGTTTCTGCACACATGGGGAGGATCCATATCGTGGGTCTCTCGGCCCCGCAAGTGGAGAGCAGGGACTGGAAAGGATGCATTTGTTGGCCATATCCTTAGCGTGAGATCCTGACTGACTGATTTACACCTCATTATGTGCAGAGCCTCCGTCCTGGGAGTAGCCGGGGCCCGTTCACTTTGTCACTCATTTACAACTATAGCCACGTGCTGTTCACAAATAGAAATACAAAACTCCAGATGCATCATTATGTGGCTCCTGTGTGCTTACTAATGCAGCTGGACGTCTCTCCCATGGCTTTCTTCTACTACACAGAAGTTATTACTGGGTACCTTCCTCTACCACTAAGGGCAAAAAAACCAAAGACCTCCTTAGATAATTTAATTGGGTCAAGGTGGTAAGATGGGGTAAAAATTGAGAATAACAACATGATAGCAGGCTCACCATGTACTGGGAAACCTCATCATTACTATTGTTATTATTATTATTATTATCATCGTGGTTCTGAATAGTGCAGGTGAGGGGTAGATTTGACTGTTAGCGTGTAATCTGAAGGCTTAGTCAGAAACCAATTTTCATCATTTAGATCATGCTGGTTTTGCTGTACGGAGTTTGCTGACTGAAAATCATGATGCACTTATTGGCCTTCAAAGAAAAATAAAAGATAATTAAAGCCGCAAGCGGCGTCGAACGGCCCTCGCCGCACCGCGCGACTCCCTGCACCGCGCGCACTCCCCGCACCACGCCGCCCCGCACCAAGCCGCCCCGCACCAAGCCGCCCTGCACCAAGCCGCCCTGCACCATGCCGTCCCGCACCACGCCGCCCCGCACCAAGCCGCAATGCGCCGCTCCACACCGTACCACGCAGCACCGCTAAAAGGAGGTGGCACCGCCGTGTGATGATTTGTTTCCGTAGCCAAAGAAGAACTTAGTCAAATTGTAATGAATATGATAAGTAGAGCTGGTTTGGCTCCCCATGTAAACTTTGACACAGTCTGTAGGGGGCGCTAATGGGCCAATTTCCAATATTTCACTTTAACCTGACCTAAACCCTGGAATTGAACAATGGATTAAAGTTTTGTGCAAATCAGACTTTGTTTGTGCAAACAGGAGCAAAATTAATGTTGTCAAAAAGAGCAAAAAAAAACCTCACATTTTGCCGCTCCGCTGCTCAAACAACGTTTAACGGATCAAAATTCCCTGAAGTCAGTTTGAAGGTACATGTGTTGAGATGATGTGGAGCGATTTTGAGGCGAATCAGTGAAACGGCCGAGGCTGGTTTGATGTTTGTGTGAGGTGTACATTTGCAATGAATGGGGAGCGTTTCTCGTCGCCACGGCAACAGGGTAAAAAATAAGCCTTGGACCCTATTGACTTTTTGAATCAAGAGGGAAAAACGGATTCATGTGCAAAATTTCAAACGTTTTGAAAAAACTAAATTTGAAAATGCCCATCTAAAACTTTGAAATAGTCTGTAGGGGGCGCTAATGTGTCAATTTGAATTAATTCACCTTCAAACGACTTAGACCGTAGAGTTGAACAATGTATTAAAGTTTTGTGCAAATCAGACTTTGTTTGTGCAAACGGGAGCAAATTTAATGTTGTCAAAAACGGCCAAAATAAGGTCACATTTTTCCGCTCCACTGCTCGAACAATGTTTCACTGATCAAAAATCCCTGAGGTCATTTTGAAGGTACATGTGTTGAGATGATGTGGAGCGATTTTGAGGCGAATCGGTGAAACGGCCGAGGAGGAGTCGCTTTCCAAGCGACATGTATGAAAATGATTGGTTTTCATGTTTCCATTTTGCAATGAAATTTATGAGCTTCCTGTTTGTCAGAGGGCTTAGCCATAATAACATTTTTTCCATGTCTTGACTTGAGGAACATGTGTACCAAATTACATGGTTCTACGGCAATTTTGACCTTGAACCCCTCCCATAGGCATTTTTAAATTGGCTGTTGTAGGTGGCGCTATAGAGCCAATTTCAAAATTTGAACTTTCAATTGACCTAGACTAAAGAGTTGAACCATGGATTCAAGTTTTGTGCCAATCACACTTTGTTTGTGCAAACGGAAAAAAATATTCTATTGTCAAAATCTGAAAAAAAATACGCCACTTTTTGGCGCTCTGCTGCTCAAACAACGTTTCACTGATCAAAATTCCCTGAAGTCATTTTGATGGAACATATGTTGAGATGATGTGGAGCGATTTTGAGGCGAATCGGTGAAACGGCCGAGGCTGGTTTGATGTTTGTGTGAGGTGTACATTTGCAATGAAAGGGGAGCGTTTGTCGTCGCCACGGCAACAGGGTAAAAAATAAGCCTTGGACCCTATTGACTTTTTGAATCAAGAGGGCAAAACAGATTTATGTGCAAAATTTCAAACATTTTGAAAAAACTAAATTTGAAAATGCCCATCTAAAACTTTGAAATAGTCTGTAGGGGGCGCTAATGTGTCAATTTGAATACATTCACTTTCAAATGACCTAGACCCTAGAGTTGAACAATGTATTAAAGTTTTGTGCAAATCAGACTTTGTATGTGCAAACGGGAGCAAATTTAATGTTGTCAAAAACGGCCAAAAAAAGGTCACATTTTGCCGCTCCGCTGCTCGAACAATGTTTCACTGATCAAAAATCCCTGAGGTCATTTTGAAGGTACATGTGTTGAGATGATGTGGAGCGATTTTGAGGCAAATCGGTGAAACGGCCGAGGAGGAGTCGCTTTCCAACCGACATGTATGAAAACTTTTGCTGTTCATTTTTCCATTTTGCAGTGAAATTTATGGGCTTCCTGTTTGTCAGAGGGCGGGGCCATAATAATATTTTTTTCTTGTCTTGACTTGAAAAACATGTGTACCAAATCTCATGTTTCTACGACAATTTTGACCTCCGAAAAGTCCCATAGGGGTATTATTTTGGCTGTTGTAGGTGGCGCTGTTCTGTCATTTTTTGAGTCCCATAAAAATAAACACCAAAATATCAAATTTTTTGCCAGGGTCTGATTTTTGGGCCAAAATTAACAACTTTTCATGCATGTTCAGGGGGTCAAATTAAGGCTCAAAGTGCAGAAGAAAAAAGAAAGAAATAAATAAATAAATAAAAAAGAATTTTTTTGTTAACGTCTCGAGCAAAAACAATATAGGTTTCAATGGCATGTGATACATCATTTTAAAGCTTTTGAGTTTACGCACGCAACTGTCACATTTTGGTGAGTGACGGGCGCTGACGCGTCCGTCACGCACCGCCACCATTTGTTTTCACCATTGTGAAAGCAATAGGCCCTTACCCCGTTCGGGGCTCGGGCCTAATTACATTCTCTTATGCAAGCTCATACAGTAACCACCAATACGATGCATATGAGGTAAGCAAGAACCCAGAACTACCAATGGGAAAATGAAATCTTTTTCCTGAACTACCATAATGATGAAGCAATTGTCTCAATATGTAGACTCTAGGAGCTTTCTGAAGAGGCTTTTTGTGAGCTATATGGAATAGATCCAGGGAAAAAAGTACTAGTATTTCTTTGTTATGGTCATTAAAATGTACTACAGCACTTGAGTTGCTGTAATGTGAAATACTAAGAAGTAAGTAACGTTTATTTCTATAGGCAAGGCAAGTTTATTTGTATAGCACAATTTCATACACAAGGCAACTCAAAGTGCTGAACAAAATAAGATGGCATTAAAATCCTAAATAATCACAGTATATTAAAAAGAAAGATCCCTTAGTTGTATGCACAGCTAAACAGAATTGTTTTTAACCTGGTTTTAAAAGAGGCCTGTCTCACATCTTCAAGAAGATTGTTCCAGATTTTAGCAGCATGAATCTGAAATACAGCCTCCCCATGTTTAGTTTTGACTCTGGGCACCAGCAGGAGGACAGTCCTTGTGCTCCTTAGAGTCCGGGACTAATATGTCATCATGTGGGACTAACATGTCACTAATATATTTTGGTGCGAGGCCATGGAGAGACTTGTACACAAGCAGAGCTGTTTTAAAGTCTATTCTCTGAGCCACAGGAAGCCAGTGCAGAGACCTGAGAACTAGACTAATGTGGTCGTACTTCCTGGTTCTTGTCAGGACTCGAGCTGCTGCATTTTGAATGTACTGCAGCTGTTTTACAGCCTGTTTGGAAAGACCTGTAAGCAGGCCATTGCAGTAGTCTAACCTACTGGAGACAAATGCATGGATAAGAATCTCCAAGTCTGCTTTAGACACTATGTTTTTGATCCTAGCAATGTTTTTTATATGGTAAAAAGCTGCTGATGTTACTGATTTGATGTGGCTATTAAAAGTCTGAGTCCAGTATTACCCCTAGATTTCTGACCTTGTTTGAAGGTTTTAGGGAGCGAGACTTTAGGTGACAGACGATGCTCTCTCTTTGTTTCTGGGGACCAAAGACAATCATTTTGGTTTTGTCTGTTTAGCTGGAGAAAGTTGTTTTGCATCCACTCACTGATCTGTTGGCTACAGTGAAGGAGTGAGTCCACTGGTCCATGTTCTCCTGCAGTCAGTGAGACATAGATCTGAGTGTCGTCTGCATAGTTGTGATAGGACACTTTGTTTCTGTGTATTAACTGACCTAACGGCAGCATGTAGAGATATAGCACATTTTTTTAGACCAAGGTCACCCAAAGCACTTTACAACTTTCAAATAATAGTTCAAATATTTCTCTGCACACAGTGATTATGGAAGGGAGAAGCCCCCAATCAACACCATCCATTCATTCACTACATTCATATACCTATTGTACATAATTTTAGTGGTATGGGAAAACGGAGCACCCGGAGGAAAACTACACAGGCACAGAGATAACATGTAAACTCCATGCAGAAAGGCCCTGTTCCAACTGGGATGCAAACTCAGAATCCGTGGGTTTGAATCTCTTCTGCCCAAGAAGCGAGAGTGCTATCCACTCAACCACCATGCTGCCCAAGTGATATTTTAAAAGGACATTATGTGAATGAACTATTCTTACTGTGGCAGACTGTTTACAACGTCAGTCTTGGTTGTGTCTTTTGACAGCTTCAGGCATGGGTTTGGAAAAGACATTGTGTTTCTATTTTCACCCCAAAATCTTACACAAGCAATTTCCTAGTCTGTGACTTCCTATTTTTTTCAATCAATCAATCAATCAAAGTTTATTTATAAAGCGCTTTTTCATACAACAGATGCAACACAAAGTGCTTACAGTTTGGCTAAAAAACAATCCTGCCCATGCCCTCCCCCCGACCGCCCAACAGACCCTCCCCAGACCACAAGCAAACTCCCCCCCCCCCCCCCCCCCCCCACACACGCGCACACACACACGCACCGATAAAACAATAAAACGACGATAAGAGACTTGGCAGGGTTCAGATGCAACCGGCTGAAGAAACGCCATCCAAGGAGCCGTCAGCGCCAGGAGCAGAGAGCCGCCCATAGCCAAAGGGGACGACACAGGACCCAGAGGAGACCCAAAACCGAGGCCCCGGGCCCCCACCAGGTCCAAGAGTCCGACCCCCACAGCCACAGCCAACCACCGCTCCCAGCGCAGAAGGCTCCTCCAGAGGAAACACTGGGGATACTTAAAAACAATACAATAAGTAAAACACTAAAATGTGAGCCTGAGAGGAACTATCACACAAAACATGAATAAAAGCAATAGCAATATAATAAATAATAAAGGATAAATAGAATATATAAAAATGGACTAATAAATACTAATCAAAAGCTAATCTAAAAAGGTGTGTCTTGAGCCTGGCTTTAAAAATATGAATGTTCTCTGCGACCCTGAGCTCCTCCGGCAGACTGTTCCAGAGACGGGGGCCGTAGTGCTGGAAAGATGCCTCGCCGTGAGTGTGTGTCCTGACTTTGGGGATGGTTAGGAGTCTGCTGCCGGAGGAGCGCAGGGGCCGGGAGGGTTCATAGGATAAAAGCAGTTCTGAAAGATAAGAAGGCCCAAGACCATTAAGACATTTGAAAACCATTAAAAGAACCTTAAATTTTATTGGCATACACACTACAGTATATTACAACATGGACATGCAAACACACTTGTGTATACAAACACTACCTTTTCTATAATTTTCAATAATATTACCTTTTTTATTATAGTTTAATACTCAAAAACGAAAACAAGTCTGGTCTTTCTCTCATATGTAAACACTATTGTTATTGAATACTATCCTGCATTCATATGTATTTTCTAAAAGCCTCTATTGTCCAATTAGAGTACTGTAATCCTGTGAAAACATTCATTTGAGTACAAGTATATACAGTATATTGAAGACATTTAGGATGAAAACATTTAGGATGGTAATTAATAGAGAACCTCAAAGTTCCCATGAGCATGTTTTGTGTTTTTATCAATGCAATTCTTTCAAATGCATAAAATTGCTCAGATGATTACTACCAATACAATACAAAATGTTGGTACACATTGCATTACAGAGTTACTTAGAAATTAACCTTACTTACTTACTCTCAACACTGACTATCACAACGGCACTAGAAAGAGCACATGTCCAGCTGAACGTAAATAGACGATAACTTGTAGCCTTCGCTCGTGCTTCAGTGTGTTGGTTTTTTAGTTTATAGACCTGCCGGGATGACTGCGGACGTTTGAAATGGAATTACACACGAAATTACACAAACGGGAGAGTTATGGTGGACCTTGGGAAGAGTGTCTCATCAATGTGCTGTAGGCTATGTGCGTGTCATGAGGGGCATCTGTATTTCACATTAAACCTGGAAACAACAATGGGCCGCTCATATCTGCTTTAATTACACACACACACACACATATCACTAGTGTTTAGAAGCACTTTGTGTTCAGTTTGTCCGCCTCCGGAATCAGACTTTCCTATCACTGATCTCCATCTCTCCCACCAGCGACCTGATGCACACTGATGCTCTCTTACTTATGCTAACAGTGCCACCATTTGGAGGCAGTGTGAACAGCAAGCCAGTCTCACACTGCACATGATCAACTATAAGGTTTTTTTTCAGTGCTGCTGAATTATTATTGTGGCAAATAAAGTAATCATTCCAAACTATACTTTTATTGCACTGGTTGTTCACTTTTAAGTAATTGCAAATGTGTCTTATGATTTAACTTGCACGTCAAATGCAGGATTATAAATGTGCAAATGTGATTGTGTCGCAGGTAGTAAATCTTGGTGAAGTCACTGGCTTTAAAGGAGAAAAAGGGGAGAGGGTGAGTGCAAAATAATCACACATGTCTGTATGATGACATCACGTGTGACCACCACTAGATTTGTAACTAATACTGTAACTAGCATTCATTTTGATAATGGACTAATCCAGAAATTATGTTCCCAATTGATTTACACAATTACTTTTATTTTTTATACAATTAATTCTTTGTTATAATATCATCTCTCAACAAATGGATGTGTTGAAGTTGATTGATTACTAAAATTGCTTTTGATTAATGAAAAAGCTTATTGGTTATGATTAATCATCAACAAAACATTGTTTGATCTGTTATGTTTTACGGTTTATGGTTGGGTATATTATAAATATGTAGTTTTTGTTTCATGCATGGATCATCTGAGATGCACTTGCTGTATGCTTACAGTGCAGTATTGTATATTTGTTCTGCTGAAGGGAGTGAGATAATTCAACAATTTGTAATATATTTAATGTGCTTAATACTGCCAACAGTCTATTTAACCCAAATGGAATAGCTTTGTACCTTTGAAATCAGCCCCTTTGCCCTTCTGTTTCAGGGTGATGACTGCTCTGGCACACATTCAGGTCCTGTAAGTCACTTTGCAATTTGTCTCTCACTTGCACACACTGCACAGAAATATTGTCTCATAACTTGGCATGCAACACAGTATGACAGTCAGTACTGGCAGAGAAAGTGCTCTATAATGCATTCCAACTGTGTGCCTCTAACCGTAGTGTGCCGCGGGACCCAAGGGCCCGAAAGGAGACAAAGGCGAACCGGTGAGTGCCAATCTTCAGAATACAGAAGCACAACCAATGCTGCTCCATCCCCCGCTACCCTCTGGTCTGATCTTTATTCAAAACTAGCTTTTTGAGTATGCAGTCCCAACATTAATTATGCAACAGGAGTGTGTGCTTTTTGAGTTTATTTACTGGTGCCCATATGAATATGCATGTCTCTGTGAATGCGGTTCAATCGCCTGTGCATGTTGTGCACCAGCATACTGCTTTACTCTCATAATAGAGCTTTGGGTTCTACCATTCTGGCTCTATATTAAGCAGATGTGTAATTGCAAGAATAGTTCTATTATTTATATTTAGAACCATGCTAAAGCCATGTCTAATGTATCCCTTAACAAGGCCTATATTTAACATATAGAATCAAATACATATTAAGTTGAGAGCTGATTGGCTGCTTGAGAGAAAGCAGTTGTTTTTGGGAACATTGCCTCTGTTAGTCTGTTAGTGCAGCCACATATGTACCGGAACATCAGCCTCGGATTTTTCTATGCAGATCTGGTAAACCAGAAAAGCAGGAGCTTAACAACTGATTAGTCAATAGGTTTTGGAAGTACCAGTGTTCTTGCTACTGTATGTCAACTGTCTGTTTTCTACCACATGCCACTACATAAATAATGCAAGGACTGCTCCTCCTGCATGCATTAAACACTGATATTTTTCTACCTGGAACCATGCATTGTCCAGGCTAAGGGCTGGGAACCGTTTTAGACAAGAGAGCCAAAAGTCAAATATTTTAGATTGTATTTCTGTGAGATCTGTATAAAGATACGGTATTGTTAGTATTATTACGGTTTTTATTTTATTTCCATTTTTTATTTAATCAAGACCAACTATATATACAGTATGTACCATGCATCTCTAAATGTATTACTTTTTTTGTGTTATATCAAATCCTGCCTATATACAAACCAAAGACACTCACTGTGTGTGCTACGCGACAGGAATCATGTTTTAAGTTTTGTCTTAAGTAGTGTGTGATAGGTCCGGCTCTGCTTGCTGTCATGTAAGCCTTTCCAAATCTACATTCAGTGATTTGAATTTATCATCCCATCTTTTTCTTTTTGCCATCATCTTTCGTCAAAGGGGGTTTGGGCTACATGAATCAGTGAGCTTACTTACTGATTAATGGCGGGAAGAATTTATCTCACATTGACTTGTGTCGGCGACAGCATACAAATATAAAGAGGCTCCAGCAGCACCAAGAGGGGCAGGAAAGCTTTGCATGAATTGAAACACACAAGAATATTTGTTTTTAAACAGTAAGATTCCTTATGGCTCATATGTTCATATCATATGAATGAAGAGGTCATTGATTTGAGTCTGTCCTCTGTCCACAGGCAGGTCCTCGTAACTGGGGAGAAGCACTTTTGTACAAGGTGAAAAGTTTCAGAATGTTGTGATACACAGTGCAGTCCTTATACAGCATATATGCACAAAGACAAAATTATTTTTCATTGTGTTTTGCCAAAGTCATCAATATTTCAATTATGAGAGAGGCCATTATTTATATTCCTTTCTAAAGTCAGTTTATTTTCAGACAGAAACAAAATCATATATTTGTGAGAACTTTTGGTTTCCTTTAAAGTTTTCCTTTGTGTACAGGGTGAAAAAGGTCAGAAGGGAGAGCTCGGCCCACAGGGCCTCACAGGAACTCCAGGGAAAGATGTAAGTACGGTATTTTTCTCATGTTATGGTCGTTTCTCAGTAAAGTAGTATTTCCATTTGATTGATGCCACAATGTTGAGAGAGATAATATTTCTGAATTCTTTTTTTCACTTTCTACAAAGTCACAAGTTTAATGTCAGACAGTGAGAGCAATAAACCATGTTGGTAACGTCCTGTTTCCGCTGAAAAATAGTGAAGGATAGTCAAAAAAAGGAAGTGCACATTCAGTAAATATAGTATATGGCATTATGCTTGTTAAGCTCCTATTGATATTGAGCTCCTTCTCAGGTCCAGAGCTCTTAAGTCGCTCTACTAATGCCTGTTAGATTAGGGTAGGGCAACAAAGCTTGCACAATCAATGCCGCCTCATTGACTGTGCCGTTCGTCTCACACAGACAGCCTCCCATTCAGGAAGACTTAAACCTTTTAATCTTTGCTGTTCACCACAGTGATCCTGCCGACGCGTCGAAAGTTTTGAGGAACAAAATACAACGTGTGTGTGCACTGAGATTGAGCTCCAATTGTATTTGTCAGGTTACTAGTGCATGCCGTTACAGATGGAGGATAGATTCTCCCAAGCCAGCCATCCGTCTGACATTGGGATGTGGCTTAATTGAAGCAGCTTTCCAATATACAAGCAAATGAGGAACTACAAGATCAGTTTCCAAGTCACAGTTGCCATGTATTTTTTGAAAATAATTGTTCTTTTTTTTTTTTCAATAACCACACACAGGTCCTGGACAGAAACAACCAATATAAGGAAAGAAAATGCGTACAAATAAAGCAATCCCGTAGAAATGGGTTTTAGTTGTTTTTTAGTGCTGTTCCGTATAGAATTGTGCATTATGACTAATGTCATGTTCAACTAATGGTGAGGCCTTAAAGCAACCATCTATCTGGCGGCCAAAAGCCCCGCCGAGAGAACCCTCTGTTGCGCCCTGTTACGTTCAAGCCAAAAAGTGCTTTTTGTCCATTTATTTGTCTGTATTAGTCCCGCTGAGACTTCAGAATCTCTTCTGACATTGTCTTTATGTTACAGCATTTTATTCTTTGTTTTGTATAGTTTTACATTTCTGTAGTTTTACATAATTATGTATTTGTGTAACACTTATATTATCATGTGATTCTGAATCTTATTTTTGAAATGTTTTGAGGGAAACCTGACCCTGCTTTGTTAATTCATATTGCAATAGCTGGTACCAATGGTTTCTCATCAATAAACAAAATCAAATCTAGTCTGAGGTTAAGATGAACATTCCCGAAATGTCTCTTTTCTTTTCATTCCTTAGGGACGAACAGGTTCGGTTTGTGTAGTGGGACCGAAAGGACAGAAGGTCAGTTATAAACATATATTATTCATATTTCATATATGTGTGGAGAAACTTTGAGTGTATTCCTTCACAGAATACTGAATACCTGCTTTTACAAAGTAGAAGTGCACCAATCCAGATTCATGAGGACTTTTTAATGAAAACGTTTTCTGTTACATGCTCCAAACAGATTATTGCTTACATTTAAGATTAGATAAAACACATCCTCCAATGTCCTGTGTAAACACATATTCCTTTTGGTTTTGTTTTATTTTTGGAAAATGGACTGTTTTCTGAATAGCACCAATACAAAATGATTCTCTGATTTCAGTTACTCAACAATAGTACACTGGTTTTGTATCATCTGGACATGTTTACTGTTACTACATTAGTCTTAAAGAGATTGTCTTTTCAGGGCACACCGGGCAAAGTGGGACCTGAAGGATTAGCAGGACTCCCAGGACTCCCGGGCCTCCCGGGCGAGGGCAAACCTGGACCCCCGGTCAGTGTTCAAAATGAAATCGTACAACTTTAGGCAGTGACAATATGTTCCATTGTGATGAGGTCACTGCACCAGGGCACTGCTCCACTTGTAGTTTTCTTGTTGTCCATTACAGAAACATAGAAACACTGTGTCAAAGGTTTCCAAAGGTGTGTCCCAGAAAAGTTTGAAACTGTTCACTTTTTTCTCCTCAGGGCCCTCCTGGTATTGCAAAAGGCATCAAGGTAGGACTTTATTCAAATATGCTCCATGAAAAAGGGAATTGTAATCATGCTTTGAAAATGAGAAATATCCTGGTTTAGTGATTGAGCATAGGTTATTTTCTAGAGCAGCCATTCCCAAAGTCAGTAACACCGAGGCCCCCTTAAAAATCTGTCGGGTCTGCGTGGCCCCCCAAAATAATAATCAAGAAGACAACATTAAGAATAGGCTCTTCTGGTTATTTTATTTTGGGGAAATAGCCTCTGCTACAAACATTGTAATACAAAAATGATTACAGTGGATTATTCAAGTCAAATAATGAACACAAATATTTTAATATTACAAACAAAACATTATAAATTTAACATTAAATAATTATATTATTTTTTTATTTTTTTTTATGACCTCCCGCGGCCCCCCTGCAGTACCCTCGCGGCCCACCAGGGGGCCGCGGACCCCACTTTGGGAGACACTGTTCTAGAGCAACAGCAATAAGACCATAGCTACAGACTACAGGATTATTAGCCCAATTTTCAGCCCTCCACAAGTTCGGGGAGCCGTGGCCTGAGTAACTTTTGTCGTTCGCAATATTTTATTGTAACAGTCGATATGTCTGTGGGGTCGGCGCTGTCACACCAGACGCAAAAACCAATGCACGAGGTCTTTCTGAAATCCTGACAAATGATGACGCATCTACAATATGTTGATTTTATTTTTTGCAGGAAAATCACAAATGACAAAAAAGAACCATAATTAATAGCAGACAGCAGTTTGATTTCTAAGTATGTGTGATGTTTTACGCTGCTACAGGGCAATACAAAAATAACCACTAACCAGGACAGTGTTGAAATAAACAACAGGTGTCTGCACATCTGAGTGCCTCATAATGCCTCGTATCTGTGTCCAAAAAACAAACTGCACTGATACAAGACCTCAGCCAATTCTCTTGGTCTATCCGTCCTGCTGCTGTCAGACTGTACAATGAGAACTGCTGAGCCTGTACATGTCATTCTGCTGTAAAAAGTAAATACTGTAATCGTGTGTAATGTGCAATTTCAGAATGTACACTGAATGTCTCTTGCTCTACTTTTGGTCACACCTTAGTTTGCTAATTAACAGCTATTGAAGTGCTAATGAGTGCATCATTTATGGTTTATTAGCTCTAAATTGGCAAGTATTTATTAAGCACTCATTAGTTCTTATTCATGGCCGTATTCAATAGGGTTAGGGTTAGGGTTGAGGTTAGCGTTAATGCTAGGGAAATGGTTATAGGGTTAGGGTGAGGGTTAGGGTATATCAAAAACACCTAAATAGCTGTTAATTAGTGAGGGATAATCTAAAGGGTTTTTATACGGCAAATTAATTTCAATCTCTTCACAGGGAGATTCTGGAACACCAGGACTTGATGGAATTCCAGGAGATCCAGTAGGGCTCTTTCATGATAATAAATAACAAGGGTAACACTTTACATTACGGGCCGGTAAGTCCATGGTACTTACAGTGGTACTTCTAGGTACTTACAGTGGTACTTACAGTGGTACTTACGGTGGTACTTACGGTGGTACTTACGGTGGTACTTACGGTGGTACTTACGGTGGTACTTACAGTGGTACTTACGGTGGTACTTACAGTGGTACTTACGGTGGTACTTACAGTGGTACTTACGGTGGTACTTACGGTGGTACTTACAGTGGTACTTACAGTGGTACTTACAGTGGTACTTACGGTGGTACTTACGGTGGTACTTACGGTGGTACTTACAGTGGTACTTACGGTGGTACTTACAGTGGTACTTACGGTGGTACTTACGGTGGTACTTACGGTGGTACTTACGGTGGTACTGACAGTGGTACTTACAGTGGTACTTACGGTGGTACTTACGGTGGTACTTACGGTGGTACTTACGGTGGTACTTACGGTGGTACTTACGGTGGTACTTACGGTGGTACTTACCGTGGTACTTACGGTGGTACTTACGGTGGTACTTACAGTGGTACTTACAGTGGTACTTACAGTGGTACTTACAGTGGTACTTCTAGGTACTTATTGTGGTACTTACAGTGGTACTTCTAGGTACTTACAGTGGTACTTATTGTGGTACTTAGAGGTACTTATTGTGGTACTTACAGTGGTACTTCTAGGTACTTATTGTGATAATTCTAGATACAGCTGTAACTTAGTAATTCAAGGACACTACAGTATTATTCCTATGTAGTAAATGTGGTACTTCTACATACATACATACAGAGGTCATTTGTAGGATTGTTTGACTATAAAACATAAAACAACATTATGTAAAACAAACGTCTTTATTAATATGGAATAAGTAGCACAGAAAGGACAGTATAAATACATTTAATGCATATTTCAAAACAAGTTTCAAGGACAAGGGAAACACTGCAAGAACTAGGTACCCAACCCAAGTAACAAGAATTACACATTACCAGGTACTTACCAGCCAAGTACCAGGTACTTACCAGCAAGTACCAGGTACTTACCAGGCAAGTACCAGGTACTTACCAGGCAAGTACCAGGTACTTACCAGGCAAGTACCAGGTACTTACCAGGCAAGTACCAGGTACTTACCAGCAAGTACCAGGTACTTACCAGCAAGTACCAGGTACTTACCAGCAAGTACCAGGTACTTACCAGCAAGTACCAGGTACTTACCAGCAAGTACCAGGTACTTACCAGCAATTACCAGGTACTTACCAGCAATTACCAGATACTTACCAGCAAGTACCAGGTACTTAACAGCAAGTACCAGGTACTTACTGTATAATTACTGGTGTTATCACTGGTACTTATGTTAAAGTCCTTTGTCTTATTATGGGCCAGTCCCTATGGTAAGTACCTGGTACTTGGCTGGTAAGTACCTGGTACTTGCTGGTAAGTACCTGGTACTTGCTGGTAAGTACCTGGTACTTGCTGGTAAGTACATGGTATACTATATAATTACTGGTATCACTAGTACTTATGGGTAAGTCCTTTGTCTTATTATGGGCCAGTTCCTATGGTAAGTACCTGGTACTTACTATATAATTACTGGTGTTATCACTGGTACTTATGTTAAAGTCCTTTGTCTTATTATGGGCCAGTTCCTATGGTAAGTACCTGGTACTTACTATATAATTACTGGTGTTATCACTGGTACTTATGTTAAAGTCCTTTGTCTTATTACGGGCCAGTCCCTATGGTAAGTACCTGGTACTTGCTGGTAAGTACCTGGTACTTGCCTGGTAAGTACCTGGTACTTGCCTGGTAAGTACCTGGTACTTGCTGGTAAGTACCTGGTACTTGCCTGGTAAGTACCTGGTACTTGCTGGTAAGTACCTGGTACTTGCCTGGTAAGTACCTGGTACTTGCCTGGTAAGTACCTGGTACTTGCCTGGTAAGTACCTGGTACTTGCCTGGTAAGTACCTGGTAATGTGTAATTCGTGTTACTTGGGTTGGGTACCTAGTTCTTGCAGTGTTTCCCTTGTCCTTGAAACTTGTTTTGAAATATGCATTAAATGTATTTATACTGTCCTTTCTGTGCTACTTATTCCATATTAATAAAGACGTTTGTTTTACATAATGTTGTTTTATGTTTTATAGTCAAACAATCCTACAAATGACCTCTGTATGTATGTATGTAGAAGTACCACATTTACTACATAGGAATAATACTGTAGTGTCCTTGAATTACTAAGTTACAGCTGTATCTAGAATTATCACAATAAGTACCTAGAAGTACCACTGTAAGTACCACAATAAGTACCTCTAAGTACCACAATAAGTACCACTGTAAGTACCTAGAAGTACCACTGTAAGTACCACAATAAGTACCTAGAAGTACCACTGTAAGTACCACTGTAAGTACCACTGTAAGTACCACCGTAAGTACCACCGTAAGTACCACGGTAAGTACCACCGTAAGTACCACCGTAAGTACCACCGTAAGTACCACTGTAAGTACCACCGTAAGTACCACCGTAAGTACCACCGTAAGTACCACCGTAAGTACCACCGTAAGTACCACTGTAAGTACCACTGTAAGTACCACTGTAAGTACCACCGTAAGTACCACCGTAAGTACCACCGTAAGTACCACCGTAAGTACCACTGTAAGTACCACCGTAAGTACCACCGTAAGTACCACCGTAAGTACCACCGTAAGTACCACTGTAAGTACCACTGTAAGTACCACCGTAAGTACCACTGTAAGTACCTAGAAGTACCACTGTAAGTACCATGGACTTACCGGCCCGTAATGTAAAGTGTTACCATAACAAGTAATACTAATAACTCATAGTAGTTACTGTACATATTGTATTTCCACAGGGTCCTAGAGGTCCTGGTGGTGTTAAAGGGGAGAAGGTAACAGAGGAGAAGATATTTGTATATATTATGGATTGCATCACTTACTGTGTTTGTTTGTTGTCCAGGGGGATCCGTGTGAGGTGTGCCCGGTGCTGCCCACAGACCTCACTAACACCATAGCTCTTCAGGGAAAACCTGGATCAAAGGGTGAACCGGGGGTGCCAGGCGTGGGAGAGAGAGGGCCTATTGTGAGTGCCTCAATCTTCAAAATGCATACTGCAATACCAATACCAATTTGCTTATGTTTTTCTCAATATAAAAGCTGGAATATTGGACTTTGAAGCCACGTTAAAATGATGAAATATATCTAACTAGTTCGTAAATTGATTCACTTTCCTTGGTAGTTTCCACATGCATGGCTTTTTGGCTCAGTCACTTCTTTAGATCAGCTTTTGCATTGAAAAAGATGGTGCCAGCGCTCACTCAGTCAATCAGCTGTCAGTATACAAAAGATACAATATTTTCTAATAATATGATGAACGTATGTTGTGGTCTGATTTGTGCAATACATATTACTTAAACTAGACTTTCTTTTGGGACATGTACAATACACTGTATTTATAAAACAAAACAAAAAAGTGACTTGAATTAGGTTATTTGTTTGTCCACAATCTTATCCTGTACATCTATGGACATTATGTCTTGGTGTAAAAGTATATTTCAGCCCGGGCCAATTAGTAATATAGTAATATTGTAAACTCAATATCTGTTTTTTGTTTTTGTTTTTTTTGATCAGATTTGTGCAACTCTGGGATATCTGCACACTCTTTATAACACACCAACAAAGTGATTTGTGCAGATAATATAAATCTATAGCTCTATGAGAGTCTCCATGTAACGATTTCCAATTGTTCCATAGTCCCTGTGTTGTATACCTGGCTAGGGCAGATGGGACATGGGAGGTTAAAATGTGGTCTAGGGTGCCAGAAATAAGACTTTTCGCTTCTAATCTTCTGGCCACCCCTTCCTCACACACCATGAACACTGTCCCGTCTTCCCTGTGGTGAAACGCCAGGCTCAAACAACACAAAAGTCTTTCCCACTGTTGGCCTGGGTCAACCCAACGTTTTAGGTCCCTCCCTACATCAATTTTCTTCCGATTTATCTGTTGCCGGGTCGCAATGGCATTAGTTTAAGCAGAAACGCCCAGACTTCCCTTTCCACACACAGCAGTTCATCCAGGCATTTTGGGTCTGTAGAGGGAAAATACCTCAAGTCTGTCACTATTCCCTTTCAACAGGGGCCTCAAGGAGTGGAAGGCAAAACAGGACAGAAGGTAAGAGTTTAAAATATTTTATTCATCATTAGCATCACTTGAAACTTCGTTCCTCATGAGACATTTTTACTTTTAGGGAGAATCAGGCTCTGACGGTTCCAAAGGTGCAAAGGTGGGTTTAGCTCATATTATTGAAATAAACATAACGTTTATTGTAAGATATTTTTAATATTATTTGGTTCTGTCTTTTACAGGGTGAACCATGTTCTTCTTGCCCCACTCTGGGTCAGTTACCTGCCAATCTGCTCCCTGGAATTATGAGCCAGTCTCTGAAAGGAGAGAAGGGGGAACAGGGAACAGGCCCAAAAGGCGAGCAAGTAAGTCAGAGTGTGTAGGGATAAGTAATATAGTTTAACAGCAGAACTCTGGGCCCAGTGCTCACAAACACATTCAAGGTGAAAGCAAAAAAGAAAACAGTGTTATCTCGCTCAAGTGTAGAGACTTTGTTCTTCATAGGATACTAAAAATTGATGGATAATTGTTTTGCTTCATGGAAGATCTATTGTTGATTTTGTTTACTTGTTTACCCATTTGTGATTGCTGACTGTGTAGACAGTGATAAGAAGCCTCATTAAAGTGATGCATTGTCTGCTGTTGGACTCCACAGGGCGAGGCCGGTGCTGTGGGCTTACCAGGACCTAGAGGAGAAAAGGTATGTTAGGGAGTAGGCGACCCCATTAATACAGTGTTTAAGTTCTCACAAGGTGAACCCACTCTGTAGTCTGCAGAATGAGGCGCTTAGCATACTTTCAAATCATTATCACATAAGAGCACTCCATTTAGGAGTCGGAGATGCAAGCTGTGAGTGTGATACTTCAGTAAGAAAAACCTACATTAAAAAAGTTTCACTCAAGTTTGAGTAAATTAAAACATTTTAATCACCCTATCACTAATTTGTCTGCAGGGCAGTGCAGGCAGTAATGGAGTTGATGGAAAGTCGGTGAGTGCCAAGTTAGTTTGTCTAAAAAAAAAAAGACTGAATCTGTTCAAATAAGATAAAATAAATCATGTTTTTTGCTTCATTTCAGGGAAAGCCTGGACCACGGGGGTTAAGTGGTAAAGATGGACAAAAAGGAGCAAGGGTAAATGATCAAACAATGACGTGATTTTCAATACATGACAATAATAATAATTTTGCTACTTATTTGTCCCAACGTGGAGTAATGTAACTAAAAAAAATTTTACATTTGAGACTACGTGCAACGTGTTCTTTTGGTGTGTTTTGTAAACCGTCCCATTGGGAATGTGTCCTTTTTGTTGTTTTGAGGGAGGTATAGCACAGCTGTATTGCTATTGATCTTGACAGTTTATTCTATACATGTGTTCATTACTGTTGTCGTCCCAGGGCGATCAAGGACTCCCAGGTGTTGGACTTCCAGGTGCTAAAGGAGAAAAAGTGTGACCACTATTTTGTGTAACATTATATACGTTGTGTGTTTGTAAGAGTGACTCAACATCCCAACGGTGTTTGTCCTAGGGCGAGTGTGGCCTTTGTCAGCCATCTGAGGTTGGAAGTGGGCACCACAATATCACCCTGCATGCAAGAGCCGGTGAACCAGGCCCCCCAGGGCCAGCCGGGCCTCCTGGCTTTGGAGCCGATGGCAAACAGGTGACCTCTTAAAATTAAAATCAAATCCTCATTACTTGATGAATTTTATTTTGCTGGATGTACTTCAGTGGCTCAAAGATAAGCTAAAGATAAACATCATGCAACACCTACGCTTTGACCAGATCCTCCCCCTTTCCCGGAGATGGGGCGCATTCTGTGATAATTTCCTTATTCACATGACAAAGTTAGCCGTTCACAGGTGGTTTAGTTTGATAGCTAAAATCCTTGGAGTCAATTGGCACTACGGTGGGGTTTTTAGTTAGAAGTGCCAAATGGCATCTCCACGGGACTTCCAGTGTTAATGAAAACACTATTTTATTTGACGTCACAATAAAGAACGGTGAAATATAATAGAATATGAAAAAGTATTGAAATAATTTCTCTATAGTGTCATCTCAATTTTAGATGGGGTCTATGGGAGAGGGTTCCACATATAAAGTTGAAAATTGGTCGGAAATATTGGCCATTTTATATTTTACAAGAACATCAATACATGTTAACATTTTATTTATTTTATCAGGAACTTTTATTTTTATTTTTACAATTAAATGTGTATGTGGGTCAAAACTCAATAATCTCTCACAGGTATTATCTACTTCAGTAGGATCCAATGAAACATAACTTTTGCATTGGTTTAACATGAAATTGCACCCCCAACACTTTGTTGTAGCACTTTAAAATGTCTCACTATACAGGACATAAAAACCACTGAGGATATATTTTTTACTTTATCAATGTGAAGTATTAATTTGGTACTGAGGTTCATCAAGGCAAAAAAGAAAAAACTCAGTGGCACCCCCTTAATGATCAAGTGGGGCTCACAGAGATTATTGTGACATTTGTACAAAGTTCAAATTTAGTACAGAGATTGTTCTTGACATTGCAAAGAAAATAAGTCATTATGACACAACTCTGGGTTACCTTGTTATTCTATTGGCTCAGCCAGTGAGATGGGAGGTAGCACATTAAACAGTGGGGTCTTTGCGGTCGCAAGTGAGGGTGTGAGACTCTAATACCGCGTGCGGTTTTAATTTGGACTAGAAATTGGGGAAATATGCTGAGAAATTGCCCTTGTGGATGTACCATGCTCTCGTTTATTGGGCAAATAGAATGTTTAGTGTGGGTAGGTATTATAAATCTGTGCTGGATGCTGTCACCCCATCCAATTACATGCTTTATGCTTATGCAGTAAGTTTTATGTCAACAATTATTATAGACTAAACAGACACACGCTTCTGTTTCTAGGTTGACTGCCTTTGAATATTAAGTATGTGCATACTGTACGTGCATCCGCATGGATTACTTTAGCTTTTTTGTGCATACACAGGGCCCACCAGGTGTGATGGGTGCCAAAGGTGAAAAGGTATTGTTTTCTTTTTTTGTTCTAATTGTTGTGTATAAAGTATAAATCTATTTTTAAATAATGAGAACAGTCATGTGTAATTTGAATAGTTTTATCTAACCAGGGAGTAAAAGGAGAACAGGGGGATAAAGGCATTAGTGGTGCCCCTGGAATCCCTGGTCTGCCAGGAGAGTCCGGACAAGATGGCCAAAGAGGCTTTAAAGGCGAGAAGGTATGGTTTGTGCATGTTTGCTGCACCTTACTTTTGTTTTAAGTAACTTTTTTCAGTAATTTATTTCTTTTTTTTAGGGTGATGCTTGCACCACCTGCCTACCGGTGGGTGCCTCAGGAGGTGAGAGTGTATATATCCCTGGTCCCAAAGGGGAGAGAGGAGAGCCCGGCTTACCGGGACAAGGCAAACCAGGCAAAAATGTGAGGGAATTGTATATGAGGCTATTTGTTTTATTATTCCTTTCTCGTCACCAACTGTGTTATTCCCAGGGGTCACCAGGCGCGGCAGGTGTTCAAGGCCCTTCTGGTATTAAAGGAGCCATGGTATGAAAAGTGTTTCTATCAGAGAAGAAATTATGGAGGTGTATTACTTTCACTTTTCAATGCGTTCTGTTTGTCTTCGCAGGGAGAACCTGGTCTCGCTGCAACTGGTCTTCCAGGGCTTCAGGTATAACAGTATGTCTTTGAAACATCATAAAGCCTAAATCAACCCTTTATGACCGGTTTGGAAATGTATCTATATGTTTATACTTCAACATTTTTCATTTTAAGTAATCACTGACAGGGTTAACCATTTAACCCTGTCAGTGCTAAATGCTAAATGTTTTTATAATTAATTATTTCATGATTCCTAGGGTGTAGAGGGACCAAGAGGGTTGCCTGGACCTGTTGTAAGTTTATTGAAGAATATTATATTCTCTGCTGTATAATAATGTTGACATTTATATAATTAAATATTGTGTAGGGACCCCAAGGAGAGAGAGGATATCCTGGTTTTGTGGGAGAGAAGGTAACATCCAAAGTCACCAAATAACAGGGATTATTATCATTATTATTATTATTATTATCATTATTATCATTATTATTTTTTAATTTACAGGGATACAAAGGTGATGTTGGACTTCCTGGACAACCAGGACCTGTGGGGCCTGCTGTCGAGGGACCTCCGGTGAGGAGTTCATCAATAAAAGCAAAATTAGCACATTTGCTTGTTTAGATTTCCTGTCCTTTACATCTATTCAAATGTTGTTGACGCACAGACAATAACATGGCTCATTTTCTATTTAACCACAGGGTAAAGATGGAAAACCTGGTTTTAATGGGTTGCCAGGAGCAGAAGGAAAGCCAGTAAGTTTGTCTTTCTCCCTTTGGTTCTCAAATGTCAGACTAATTGGAGTCATTTTTTAAATGTTTTGCATAAACAATTAAAACAAATGAAACAGGCATTTATGAATTAAACAAAAAGGGCCTCCCTTTTACCACCTTCTTTGGGAATTTCTCTTGATTCTGGCATCATTTGTAACCAAGTATGCCTGCCTTAAACCATAACGGAGGCAATGTCTGCTTCCATCTCATCTGCTGTCCCCACATCTCCTCCCAGCTCAGTGCCCCACAAGCTTTCTTCTGGAACAACAAATATGGAGTAACTAAATGTTTTTGTATGCGTATGTGTCTTCACTCTCTTGTAGGGACAAGACGGAGCTAAGGGGGACAAGGTAAGTCTAGCGTTTTGTTTGTATGACAGGATCTGGAGGGGCTTGAGTATGAAGAAAGGAAACAGATGGTAATCACAAGAGATAGTTTAGCGCCCCCTTGCACATACATATGCACACTGAGCTGATCATAGGCATGCAAAGAGAGACCTCGGGGCACTCACAGCAGCAGTGGGGATGACAAGTGTACTGGGCTATCAAACCAGAGGAGTGCAGGGCCTCACGAGAGGGAGCGTGTGACTGTTTATCTCTGCCTTCATCAGAGCCACCGTGCACTGTGCGAGTCAGAGGCTGAGGCCACAAAGAGGCAGTGCTGAAGCACAGACATTCATTTTCAAACATGAATAAAGAGAATCAAGCAACAGGTGTACTAATGAAAGATAAATGTATTATTAACCTATTATTATTGTTACTTTAGTGAGACATCCAACAACAACTACCCAGGTTATCTGAAATAGTGAATGGAATTAAAGTGATTGTCTGGAGTTTGTCAGAAAGAGAGACAGAGAGGTACTTGATTTGAAAAAAACGACGCAAGCTCCCTCCCCATTCCTTTCTGATTGGTCTACACCTACGTTTCCGTAACACTTTTAAATGTTAATCAGAGAACACATTATACATATACATTATTAATACACATGCACGGAGGTTTTAACGTTTTAATGAAAAAAATAATGTTTTTATGCACAAAAAAAGCGATTGCGGCCAACCAGGAAGTGCTATTATCATGAATTGCACATTATAGGACACATCTGCAGAGGATCTGATTATGGATATAGGTTCAGAATATACATAAGTACCTCAGCGCGGGTGTTCAGAATTCTTTGTTCAGTTTTCATGTAGTTCCAGGGCCTAATGGAGGCTTGATTCCGAGGCTCCGCGAAAACAAACAACTGATCATGCGCGCAGCTGCGAGCATCAGCGCTGATGATTGACAGCCCTTGGCATGACTCGATTGGTTAACCTCGACGGCACCGTGGATTCTGAACTATAGCTAAGAGAAGGGAAGGCGGGACTTGCCCGTAATATTAGAATTAATAAAATGACTTATTTTATATCAACATTTAAGGCCAGGAGGTCAATTTAACATATTTCCTAAAATTTGTAATTCATTTAGAGTTACAGACTATCACTTTAATATAAATTGAATTAAATACATCTCAAGAGTTGGGCTAAATGTTTCTGTGAGTGTAGGAACATCGAATGACCGGTAAATCGAGAGCTCTGCCTTTCAACTCCGCTGCCTCTTCACTTCTTCAATCAATTGAAACTATGATTAAAAAATAGATGAAAAACAATATCATTGAATATGGATAGGTTTACTAAACTAAAGACCACAAAGTTTAGATATTGCAGAAATGGGGTTATCTTTTAAGTTGAATGAAGAAAGTGCCTCTTATACTGCTGTAACTGCTTTGATGTATTTTTTAGGGTGAACCTGGAGAGTGCAACTGCATCCCCCCCTCATACACGGTTGTGGGCGGACCAGTGAGTATATGCACTGCACATTTTAAATACTTAAACATGTACTCCGATAACCTATTTACCACCTTGCCCTTACTTACATTGTAGCAACAAGCAAGGTCACTTCATTTGACAGCACACATAACAAGTCTGCCTTCTCCCTCAGCACCTGCTGAAACATCTACTATTATTCTGCTCTGATTCCTCTGTGCTTGCCTTCCAGGGAGCTCCAGGAACTGCAGTAAACTCGTGGCAATCTGGCCCAGAGGTGCTCACTGTCAAAAGCTCCATAACTTAGGCTTAAGTACATTTCACTTACACACTCATGGTAAACGTCATTTTTGCAGGGCCCTCCTGGACCCCCTGGTCCACCAGGACCCCCAGGAGCCCAAGGAGTAACAGGAATCCAAGGCCCGCAGGTAAGAGTATTGTGGACTTTATTTCTTTACTCCACTGCTCAATTCAGGAGCCGCTCATCGATCTGAATTGAATTACAAGCTACTCATAAACCTGCTTGGGCAAAAATGGGACACTTGAGGCTTTAACACGCTCTGCATCATGATCAAGACAGGTGCCATCAACCATGCATGTAGGCTAATTATGGTTAATTATGGTCCTCTGACTGCCGAAGGACACAAGAAGAGACCCATGCTACATGATGAGTGGGTCCTCATGAACAGAAAATGCAGACTTACAGCATACTTGTATAAGGACATGCATGTAGGACATGACACACTTGCAAACTTAAACTGTATCTTGAAAATACTAACAAAGCTTTAGCCAGGCTTTACTCATGGGTCGTCTGAGCAGGCTGAGTCATGTCCTTTAAGACATAAACAGTTATTTGAAGGTTTGCCTATCAATTATTACACACTTGTTCTCGTTCACTTTGTATTTGTGCATTTCAAAACAATCAAGGGATCCTTCAAATAAAGTGTTGCTATGCTCTTCTGGAAGAGTCAAAGGTGCAAAAACTTGGAGTGGGGCTCTTTACATGTTGGCGGGTCGTTGACTTGCATATCAGTGATGAGGAGCAGCATGTGGCTTTTTGACTCTGCCTGTACAACTGGTGGAGATGGGAGTGGTTAGCCTTTAGACGGCAATATCTACCTCAACAACTGCCTTCTTTTTAGGGTATCCCTGGAAACGACGGGATACCGGGGAATCCGGGTTTGCCTGGAAAGATCGTAAGTAAAATTAGAGCAAAAGCAGGAATATCATAACATATAGATGAAGCAGGCAAAACAAGCTATATTAAATCACTTTTTTCCCCATTTAAAACAAAATTAGCTTTGACTTATTGTAAGAAGCAGTTGTTTATGGCTCCTGTGGCTCTGGGGAATAGATGCATTATTAGATGCCACATAATGTTTATAGAACGTGCTTCATGGATGCTACAGGTGAGTTTCCAACTCCTAAACTTTCACACTTAACACCATGTTCCAAGGCTAGGGATGCTCAGATATGTTTGCACAAAAAACATTATTAAGCTTTAATCATTGATAAAAGGGTACCCTTAATAACAATGTGGGAATTAATTGTGAAGTATCTTTTTTACATATCCATCCATCCATTCATTTTCAACCCTTTATTCTATTTCAGGGTCGGGGGGGTGGTAATCAGCTGCCACCCAAATCTTTTTCACATACAATGCTGTTAATGCACTGGACCATTGTGTATCACACTTCATCATAATTGTAGTGGAACATCAAATTGCTCCTTTTTAATGGCTTCTCTTTGCACACTGTCAGATGGGTTTGTAATGACGTTGAAATCCGGCCAGGTGCTATTGATGACTCTATAAATAGATTGGTCCTAGGGCTTTGCTAGGATTGAGCCAGTCCACGTATTAAGAGCATCATTATCAATAGTATTTTTTGACTGGCTTTTGGGAGAACTTGAACGACATCCAAAAACTAAAGCATGGTTTACGATATGTTCTGATTTACTTTCCAAACCAGAATGTGCTGGTTAGGCTTAGAAACCTTTGTCAGAGGTGACACGTGAAGCTATCTTGTGTCACCTCTGACAAAGGCATGCCGCCCTTCACATTTAATTTAGAATGTGCTACTATTAGTATGTTTTAGTTGGAATGGGACAGTACTATGCAATGATGAATAGCTACTACTGTAAATACATTGGAATTACTGCAAGGTTTTACATTGCATTACATTTTAATGAAAAAGTTAACCCATTTTTTAAAACAATTTCAGGGTCAGTCCACCTGTGGAGTTTTTGTTCAAAAATAGAATAACACATCTGTACATGTATTTTGTGTATTTGCCTAGATCACTGTTGGATTAGAAAAGCTGCCTCAAGACGCTGCAAACACAGATGTGAGTTTTCAGAAGTATTTTCATCAATAGAATGACATGTGGTGGTGTTCCAGTTTTTATTGTAAAAACTGTTGATCAGTTTGTGCATACTCATGACTCAGGACGGCTGTGTTGGGGGTGTTTGCAGGGCTTGCCAGGGGTCCCGGGTATGGCAGGTGCCAAAGGAGAGAAAGGAGATGAGGGCAAACCAGGGGTAACTCCACTGGACAACTGTGATAGGGTACGATTGGGCAGAATTAGGACATCTTCTGGATGCAACATGATTCTTCTGACTTGGAATTATGTTATTGTGTGTGTATGCAACAGCTTTTGTAGTTTTACAGCTATGTTTTGGCAAAAAAAAATATTTGGCAGTTTGCAAACGCTTTAAGACTGGCAGAGTGGCGCTGCTCCCATTTCCTAATTTTTAGTATCTTGCCAAACATAAACTAATACAAAAATAAAAGTAGGGGATTTGAAAAACCGGAATGTGAACATGGCTATCTTTGAAATGCATCAACATATTGGTATCTTTTCCAATGTGTTGTTTTCTGTCCAACAAAAACATGAACATATACGGTGTAACATCTCGTATATCAATACCACACTTTTGCAAACACATTTTACTATTTTTTGAGTACTCTTTGAATCAAGTGTTCGTTGATTCCGGAACATTTAAAAAAAATATATAATATTTACAAGTAAATTCTAAATATGTATGTCACTTTCACAAACATCAAATGTTTGCTAAATAGGGCAAAAATATGTTTGGGAATTTTTTTTTATGTAACTTTTGTCTGTTTATATATTTTTTTTTAAACTGCAAAAACACATAATGTGTTCCATACTAAAATATAAAGTGTAAGCGCTGTTTAAGTAAATTGTGTACCTTAAAACGGCACCACACTTCTGGTCTTAAAGAGTTAAAAGTGAAACACAACGCATTACAACGTAATGTTGAATCCGCTTGCTGACAATGTCCCCTTCTCTCCCATCTTTGCAGTGTTTGGATAAACTGCAGAAGATGCAGGCAACCCAAGCGGTGAGATGGCTGTTCTAAATGTATTTAAGTTATTCCAATGACTTATAACAATTTGACATGCAAATGATTGTGTTCCTGACAGAATGACCAGTCCTACATGGGACCACCTGGAATCCCAGGAGTACCAGGATCACCTGGAACAAGGGGGGAGCCGGTACATAATCCAGCATGTTTTTGTGACTTCCAAAAAGGCATGAAAACTTGAGACTTATGTAGTTGCCTGTTCACAGGGTATACCAGGAGACAGAGGCTCTACTGGGTTACCAGGGAATATGGTAAGGCTTAAATGTCTAAAATGTTAAAATTTAATGAAACTGATTGATGGCAATAAATAGTGTTTTAATATATTTCAAGTTTCTACCATGTTATTGTAAGTTTAGATCCTATCAATTCCCTAACAGAGCCCTCTGCTGGTCTATCTGTCAATATGTAAAGTTATACATTCTGAGATTAATTCAGATACTTTTGTATCATCCCAATAATTACCACTATCCCTATCAAATTCAACACGCTTGTTCTGTCTCAGGATCCAGCTTCATATGAATTGTGTATCCTAAGTCTGTTTCCAACCTCTATATGCTCGTGTCAGCACAAACTGTTTTTCGGCTTCACTATGATATCAAGATCCCCGTCATTGGTGGAAATCTCTGTGGAAATCATTTTCATCTGATCTTTTTTTATTTCAATTGTATTGTTTTATAGTATATTTACTTTTTGACTTTTGAGATTAGTCCTAACAAACATAGACTGAGAAAGGCTTATTATTGCCTTCTATACTTATTTGTTGTTCAATTATGTTTCTCGAAAATGTGAGATTTGAAATGGTGTACAACATGCCATATTTTCCCACTATAAATATACTGTAATTTCATTTACACCCTGAATTTTCCTTGTGTACCCCTAGGGTTCCACATAGCCTTGGTTGGGAAACACCAGCTTAAGTGATGTTTTACCACCAGTCACAAGACCACTATTGAGTGCTGCTACAGAAAACCTTTTAATGAGATTTCTAGTTGTAGTTGAATGTATTTCGTGATGTTATACTTGTCCATTGTTTTGTTGTATTTTTTTACAATTTTCCACTTTGTTGTATTTTATTAGGGCCCCCCTGGATTCCCTGGTCTCCAAGGTCCGTCCGGCTCACCCGTAAGTTTGTGGCCATTAATCTTATTGTTAAGGTATAACGGATCTTATTTAGTACTGTTTAGAAGTATTTTTAACTGATGAAATGTGGTGGTATACTATTTAATTTTGTTCCTGTTTTTTTTCTGTGGCTCAATTATCCCCCTGTCTATATGATAGAGAGCATAGCGACTCAGCATATTTGATTTATTGTTTTACTAAAATTGAGACACATAATGACTGAGCCTTGCAGGTGTGAAAAAAAAACATTTGGATGTGAGGTTTATTATGAGGTGATGCACAAAATAATTTTATCCATCCATCCATTTTCTTCCCCTTAATCCATTTCTGGGTCGGGGGGGTGACAGTCAGAGCTGCACCCAGAACACTTAGAACCAGACCCTCACTGATCCTCCCACAGGTGCTGAGTCCACAGGAGCCTTGATTTTACAGCGGGGGCTTCAGGCAAAGTGGTGTTAAGTGTCTTACAATAATTTTAGGTACCGCTAATTATAGTAAACAACCCTTTGCACCATCGCAGTCACTAATCAAATGGAAAGCCAACATATAAATACATCCTTAGGAGAGGGTTTTGTCATTGAAGATGAACTTGTTGTCGAGTAACCTGTGTTTTTGTTTTTATCTTCCTGTTTCTAAGGAACACTATAATGACTATTATCTCATTATGTCCAGGGTCAGAGAGGAGAGCAGGGGTCACCCGGACTACAAGGATTAAAAGGAGAGCAAGTTAGTGTTGCATGCGCTGATTCATATACATGTATTTCTTATATATATTTGTATCTTTAAAAAAATAACATCATTTTCTGTTCATTAAGGGCCCTGCAGGAACCTCTGGGTATCCGGGAGCTATGGGAACACCAGGACTGCCGGTAAAGTATCTCCTTCTAGATAAAGACGGTTGGTGGAATTTAGAGTGAAGTCATTGATTTGACACAGAATCCAACTCTCCTTGTGTTTATTTTCTTAGGGACTTAAAGGTGAACGTGGAAGTCCAGGCAGTGCAGGCAGTAATGGAGAAGCAGTAAGTTAATCAAATGATGGAAGAAACTTGTTACTTGAGACCGTCACATCCGTCACTCTCTCATCAGGGTTCTCCAGGCAGCCCAGGATCCCCTGGGTCCGCTGGTGCTCCGGTTTGTTTTCAAATGGTTATACATATGGCATGTAAAAACATTCTTTGACTTGTTTGTTTCTGTTTTTATTTAGGGCATTAAGGGAGATACAGGACCAGCTGGGCCTGAAGGACCCAAAGGTGACCAGGTAGAAAGCCAAGCAACATTTGATACATTATGGGTTCTTTCTCATCCTGGCTGACACATAATATATTGTTTGTAGGGATTCCAAGGACCACCAGGTTTTCCTGGACCTCCCGTAAGTACAACAACTCTATAATACAATATATTTTCTGTTTCTATCACAGAGTGTAGAAGGGTGGACAAACTGGACATGTGAACTAGCGAACTAGCTTCTGCGTGTTCCTGTGTCAAAAAGGGCTCATACATTTGCTTCATCATATCCTCGATCATAGTCCGGATTTTAGTGCTTTGTGGAATCTATTTTTTATCTAATATGATCTCTCAAGGAATCCATGCCATGACCAATATTAACTGACCTGTCCCAAATTGGCTAATGTAACGGTCGTAACCATAGCAACCAGTTTGATTGACAGCACACACACCTTGTGCACCCATCTTGTGCTCAGTGCAAATGGGAAGGCCTTGCCTCTTGCTCTTGATTGTCTACGAGAAAGCTTAAGTGATGTCAAATAGTGGGGGGGGGGGGGGGGCATGCAGTTTTTCTGTATGTGCTAGAATAGGGTAACTGCATATACTACATCAGCTTGCTCCTAAAAACAAGGATGGGCATTACTGGGCAAGTGAGTGTTATTGTCCACTCTTCTCTACAGTCTCTGGTTTCTATGTGCCAGTTTTTATGTGATTTTATGGCATGTTTCAGGGCGGACCAGGACCTGCCGGTAAAACTGGAAGAGAAGGGTCACCGGGACTAAAGGGTGAAAAGGTAAACATTTCAGAATTGGAAATATACACTTGTATCCAACACTAAAGAGATATTTTCACTGTTATGGTTTTATGGTTTTAGGGAAACGATGGCCTTCAGGGATCTCAAGGGGCCACCGGACCACCGGGATCTCCTGGCTCTCCAGGGCTCATGGTATGAGAGGAGCATGTCTGTGTTTACCTCTTCTGAGATTATTCGAAATGTTTTTTTTAATATATATTATAGGGTCCTCCAGGTATGGAAGGGGTTGATGGAAAAGATGGAAAACCAGGGCAACTAGTAAGTTATAGGGTAGAGGGTAGAGGAAGCATGTTTCCCATCATAGTATACATATTTTGTAATGCATTTATTTTGTTGTTGCTAGGGTGTACCAGGGCCTGCTGGCCCAGTGGGGCCTCGCGGGATCCCGGTGAGTATTCTCAAGTGTTGGGAGCATTCATAACTGCGGAATTCCACACCCACTGTCTCCGCTCCATTTTTGAGTACAGGGATAAAATCAGGGCCGCCTGCATAAAGTCAGAACAACCCCTACTGTTCACTTTGCTCCAAACGGGAAAAACAACAATAGAAGTATACCCATTTCATTTACAAAGTAAATGCACTTTAAATTGATCAGGCTAGAGTCTGTCAGGCTGTTTAATATGTATAATCTTTGGGACTCAAAGTAGTGTGTTTAACACTAGGACCGCCGCGCTCTTAACATACCTTGCACCGCCCCCTGCGGTCAGTTGACCGCTATGTATTTTGCGCTGATACAGCCTTTTGCCAAATTGATTGTTCACTAAACCAGAACTTGATGTTGCAAAGGAATCGTGATCATAATGAAACTGTGTAAATTATTTGTCTAAATATGCTAAGTAATTGTAATTCTAGCCGAAATAAAAGACTAAGACGACACATTGTGCGTGTACTGATCCATCAAAATTACGATGACTTTTCAGGCTAGATTTATTTTGTAACTTTGCAAACACCTAAAAGGTCGGTCACTATATTTTATATTTGACTCAGTAACAATATGTAAATTCAAACAATATAAATTATAGTTTAGAAAAGCACGGGACCATAACGTCTTCGCGCTGCTATATGCGTCTACTTCTTACGTCATCTCCAGACTGTTTTCTCTTTAGAGGCCGAAATCACCGTGGGAAATATTATCTAGATAATAATAATAGTATTCGTATTGACACAAGATCATCAGCTAGGCTACCATCGTCAATGTAAAATCTTCAATTTTACACGGGACACGTTAGAAAGACAAATATATGTATATATATATTTGTATTTATTTGAGACAAGCAGTGCTCTTTATGCTCAGAACAAAATTATAATCATTGCCTTGCAGTGCGCGCTGTGCAGAATAACACACAGTGTTATCTGGATGAAAAAAGAATTATATCCTTATTGATATGAGGGCCGCCTCTGCCCCACAGTCCCTCTCCTCCTGCAGTGTCCGCGGGTGACGAGCACTCTGATCTGCACTCTGCCTTGATAGTTCATCTAATTGTTCTATTTTATTGCGATATTGTATTCTGCTGTATTGCCTTCTTGTATGTATAAATATAATAATGTAATTGATGATGAATGAAAAGGCAGAATGGAGCGACAGCGCGCACACAGACACCTGCGTATGGCTAGCATTACACACGCTCATGTGCGTTATTGCTTCTGGACTTGTTACAACACTGCTGTCCGTGCCGTGAATGCACTATGGGATTACGTTCAGATTTAGAATATTATAGGTGTTCTCCCCGCTGTCACTTTCTACCTCAAAATGTGACATCTCTCACCTCCGTCAGACTGTTCTCATTCAATGTCTTGAAGCACTGTCAGGGCTTCATACCGTGTACTTGCAGCTCTATTCATTTTGTACTCCTCTCTCTCCCAAATAATAATAAAAAAGTCCCTTTAGAGTCTAATGACAACATATTGATACATTTTTATAAGGCGCGAAAAACCCCCGGGAAAGGTTACTATGACAACAGTCGCCCCTGCGCCATGTATCCCTATGGGGCAGCAGAAAGGGCTGTGGTTTAGAAAAGTAAAAAATGCGTGTAAATCTTGTTTTCTTTACTTTTTCCAAAACCAAAACACACCAAAATATAAACAACAAGTACCTAGTAAAAGTCATAACATTTCAACTTCTGGCGTTTTGTTTTGAATACACTAATTAGCATAATAAAGTGAGTGACGGTCAGTTGACCGCTAGGGGCGCTCCTAGTGTTAAAAACAATAATAATATAATAAAACATTTTTTATCCCTGTAACTACTATTAACAGGTAATCTCAAGCGGTGACTAGTGTTTTTAACAAATTGAGAGTACCTTGCCTGAGATTGTACTCAAGGATTTCGTCATTTTAGTATCCAGTTTAGTATTAAGCACCAGCTTCCATGTCTCTTTTTAGGGATTCAAGGGAATCAAGGGTCATGCGGGCTTCCCAGGAGCAAAGGTAAGCTTGTATTTGTTTTGATGTATTGTATGTATTGATGTGTACAGTATGTATGTCCACACTTTATCATATCACCAACACAAACCATAGACTGTAGATTACAATTGGACTGACCTTCGCTCCGTAACAGGGGCAGACGTGTTACCAACATGGTTGCTAAGGCAAGCTGGAATTGCCTTGCAAATTAAGGCATCTAATTGGTTAATTCTTATGGCTCATATCTGGAGTTACAAAGAAAATATCAAAATAAATTCCCCCAGGATCATCGAGAGTGCTAAACTGCAGATTCCTTAAGACCAAAGTGGTGAGTGTGACATGGTGTGACCCAAACAATTACCGATACTGGGCTCGAGGAGTATGTAAGTCAATAGGAGCCGAAGAGAGTTGGAGCAAAACTTTGTCTGCGAGCCTTTCCTTATTGGGCATCATTGGGCTCAGAGGATAGTTTTGTTCTCTATATAGAGTCTATGCCACAAACATACACATAATACATCGGAATTGCAACGCAGTGATGTTATTTCTTTCACACACACAAAACATGTTCCCATTGTCTCTAGAGGCAACACATTTCCTTAAAGAAAGTTGCTTGGTTAAATTTCTTAGAGTCCACCTCATCTCATCATTATCATGCACTGGCTATTGAGTGAACAAAATCCAATCAAAGTAATTAGATTGAGCAGTATGGAACAACTGCAAACCTACCAAGGCCATTAACTTGTACTAATAGGTCACTAATAGTCATGCACTACATACATTTGGCCTGGGTGGGCGAGTGGCACAATAAATTCCCAAGGAACTAAGCCGTTTGTTCCAGCTTTTTGGAATATAGATGAACAAGATCTCAAGGTGTACAAAGCATAATGTTGTTTTTCTTAGCTTTTTGTAACTTCACTTCAATCGGGAGAGACCAAAACAGACACATTTTAATGCATTTAGAAATATTTATTTGTCTGGAGCATTGACCTCGACAGGGACACCTCCAGAGGGGAGATCATTTGCTGCTGAAGATGATCTCAGATCCCCCGGGGTCAAGCACTGGTGGTGGCTAGAAGCATGGTGTGAACGGGGCGTAGGCGGAGTAGGCGCAAGGGCAGGAGTAAGAACATGAGCTAGAGCAGGAGCCAGAGCAGGAGCTTGAGGAGGTGCTGGGGAGGTGGTGGGTGTCAAGAGCTTTGAGAAGCGTTAGTTGGAAGTGGCCGCTTTTAAACTGGCTGCTTAGCTGTCAGTAGGTTGGCAGGGGGGGGTGGCCGAGCTGTGTGACTGGCTGAGGCTCGAGGCTGGCAGAGCTGTGTGATTGTTGAGGCTGGAGAGGCTGGCCGTGGATGGGGTGAGAGCTGCAGAGGTCTTCCCAGTCTGAATTTACGCTCAAACTTCATGAGTGTCTGCCTCTTTGTTTTTTTACTCTCCAAAGGGAATACATTTATGTATGTATGACGTAACAGAACCACATTTGGAAATGCTCTAGAGGTAGAAATAAGTTTGCAAGACTTGTATTAGTTCTATGATGATAAATGATAAATTGGTACATTTACTATCAGGTTAAACAGATATATGTTAATTTTTAGGGGGAAATTGGCCCCTCTGGTCTTCCTGGTCCACCAGGTCGTCCTGGTCATGAGGTGAGGAGTTTATTTTAATGTAAAAGTATACATATACTGTACGACAACAACAACAAAATCTAAATTTCAACTTGTCTCCTCTGCAGGGTGACCCCGGCACTCCAGGACTACAAGGCCGACCTGGACCTGCAGGACATGCTGTAAGTTTGCTATTTTGATCGAAACCACAAAATGATGCCACAGGTGATTAAAGGTCATATTTACTTTTATTATCAGGGTCCCACAGGTCCAGCAGGGCCCCCTGGTCCCCCAGGTCCAACTGGAGTGGTAAGTTGTTTTGTACACTTAAAGCCTATGAGTGTTCTGTAGTTTTAAACTCAAAAAGCTTCCTTGTTAAGAAGTTTTAGGAGATTGTTAGAAATCGTTTTTTACATCCATTAAAAGTATTCCATGCGTGGTTTGGTTTAAAATCAATTTGTTCAAACAAAAGCGTTGTGACATCAGCCATTAGCTCGGGCGCCATGTATAGTGTAGTGCTTTTACTTAGGCATTGCAGGCAATGTAGGTTAAACAGTAAGGTGACAGTGTGAGAGTGGGTGTGTGTGTGTGTGTGTGGGTATGTGTGTATGTGCGTGAAATCGGCATTAATCTTGTCATGGAAAGTTTTGCAGTAAACAGTGGATATTCATCAAGATGTATTGTCTGATATAAAACATTTATTAAACTTTAGTTAAGCTTTAAAGAAGGCTTAGTCCTGAAAGTCTTCATAATTTGTATCAATAATAACTGAATTTCACATGATGAGGAGTGTCTCTGGCCTCTATTTTGACTGCACTATATTACTACTATTACTCCTGTTACCTGCAGAAGTCTTGAGGACCACTCCTGCGCTGTGTTATCTATACTCCTTCGTGGATCGTCACTACTTTTTCTCTTTTCTGCAGCGACTCACTGTTTTCCCTCCTCCTTTCTCTGCATTAAACAATCGTGTCCTGTTGTTACCACCTGAAAACTTCATCCAATTTGGGAATCAAACATTTTGTCTGCGGGGAGGAAAGCCCATATTTTTGTTTTCTATTACATCCTAAAATGTTTTATGTACAGGGTACAAAGGGAGACAAAGGTCAGGCTGGTGAGAGAGGTTTGCCAGGCATGTTAGGGCCTCCTGGAACTCCAGGACACCAAGGACCAATGGTCAGTAGCCTCTTTTGATGTTTGTATCCAAAAAGAATAATAGCAATGTGATGTTTTTATTAATTCTGTCTTTATTTAGGGTGAACCCGGCAGTGATGGAGCTGCTGGTAAAGATGTGAGCAATCAAAAATCAGCTTTATCCATACTGTCTTTGGTACATAATTCATGTCTTTGATGAATATGAACTGTTTGGAATTTTGGCAGGGAGCAGCGGGCACGCCAGGGGACACTGGACTACCAGGTCAAAAGGTAGTGCACACTCAGCATGCTTCATAGTAATTCATGACAGCTATGCTGCTTTTCTCGATCTAATCCATACTCACCCTTGTGACTCTCAGACACAAGTTTCTTTACAATGGACATACTTTATTTTTCACACATTCAGCTTGCCCTTACAGTCAATATGTTGTACAATTTGATTACCCTAACCTTGGACAATTCACCTACCCTTGATTTCAGAACTAGCCCTTTTGCTTGTATCCAGTAGGTAACTTCTGGTTACTTGTGCTTCTGGTCAGCACGTCTGTATGGTGTGAGCAAAGGCTTACAGAGAATGGGTACAGTGATAAAGTTATTCTCTGCCTCTGGGATAATGCTATTAAGCATGAGAGGAGATTCTAGATGAGGCTATTTGTCACGCTGACAGGATGCCATTGTCGGAGTTTTAGCTGCACAGAAGAGGAGAACAGAGACAGAAGATGAGGATGGACTCCTCCATTCTTCGCTCTCCTCTTTATTTCAAGAGTCAGTTCTCTGTCTGTGACATGTAAACATTAGACGTCCATTATGGCTGCTTTGTTCTTCATGAATCAGACTTTATTGCAGTGCATTGGGCAAAACGTATTCCATTCTAGTGAGGGTTATAGCTAGAGAGAAAGAAAACTAAAATGAATTATCTAAATCAGTTTGTCAATTAGATACAATCAAACTCGGGATAAGGCAATGTATAGAAGAATAACCTAAATACATTATCTAAAATGTCTTTAGTTATTATTTGACTTTACATACATATACATTTTTGTATATTTTTTGACAGGGTGAACCAGGGGGCCCTGGTCAGAGAGGTGCACCTGGTGAAAGAGGACGCCCTGGGCCTCCAGGCGGTGGAGGCTACCACAGCAAAGATGCACAGCCCATGATGGGGCCAGCTGGTCCCAGGGGGGAGAGGGGAAGCCCTGGGACAGAGGGTCTCCCTGGATCTCCTGGGTCACCGGGGACACCAGGAAATGATGTAAGTGAAAAAAAGACTCACAGCCCAGACAGTTTAGATCAGGGGATTCAAACTCAATTCAACTGGGGGCCACGGAAGGTTGAGTCTGGGTGAGGCTGGGCCGCATAAAGGGGTTTTAACAAATGTTGTGTGTGAAAAATATATGAACATTAGAGCAAACAGATTCATATTCAGAGATGGCATTAAACTACAAAAACTGCACACGCTATTTCATTTTGCATTTTGCAAGAGACAAAAACAGTAAAGTTTTATGGCTTGTTATTTGCATCAGTGACGTTTTATGATCATAAAGATATTTTGACCAACTAACAATTTTTTTTTACAAATTCAAGTTAATATTTTTTGAAATACATATCTATGTACAAAATGAGCCCAGCACCTCAGATTGAAGCAAAACAAAACTGGATCAAAGTCAATGATGCTTTGTTTTGTAGACAGCTGGGCTGAATAATGTTTAGTTTGAATTATCACTTATTGCATTGAGACTTGTCTATGGCTATATAAATAGTGTGGTTGTTTTATTGCTAAAATTATGTATAACATGCCATATTAGCCCAGACTCTCAGAGGAGGCCGCAATGAGAGTCTGTTGCTTTACATTTGAACTCACTTTATTGTTTAATATTGGATTTTATCTTTCTCTTTTCTCATATGAAGGCTGCGGTAAACTATGACGAAATCAAGAACTTCATACGGCAGCAAGTTATTAAGATATTCGATGGTAAGAGAGTTTTACTTCTGTTATTTAGTCCGGTGGGCTGTTGATTGAACGGTACCTATTTCTCTCCAGAGAGAATGGCCTACTATATGTCCCGGATGCAGATGCCAGAAACGGTGGCTTCTCCAGGGCGTCCTGGGCCTCCTGGTAAAGATGGCATCCCTGGCAGTCCAGGGGCCCCAGGATCCCCTGGCATGCCCGGACACATGGGCAGACAGGGCCGGTCTGGCGGACAAGGACCAGCTGGTGAGCTTCTTATGCTTCATTTCCCTTTGTTATAATAAAAAATGTGTCTAATATGTGCTGTCCGCCTAAAGGACCACGAGGACCACCAGGAGAAAAAGGAGATAAAGGAATTGGTGAAATGGGAGATGTAGGACCTCCTGGTGCACCAGGTAAATACAGTCCTTTGATTGATGACTATAATTTCCAAGTGTAGTCACTCAGTAGATGAACATGGGTCATCTCATTCAAATATCAGCATTGAAATTAAATAAAATGAAACTGGTTTATCTTGTGTCTAAAGACACAACTTTTGTTGTGTCTTTAGACACAACAAAACAAAATGTTTTTGAAACCCTCATTGAAAAATATGAGGAATTCTATGTTCTGGCATTGTCTACACCTACAGCTGAGTGATGTCTCTATTTGAGAAAATGTGCACTGTACGCACATGATCAAAGGCAAAGAGAGACTGTGGTTGTATATTAGTCTCATCAGACTTCAGATGTTCAACCTCCAGTGCATACCACTGTAAGTTCTGTAACATTGTGTTTTATCACAGGTATGCCAGGACCTCAAGGTTATGGAAAGATGGGACCACCAGGACCCGTTGGTCAACAGGGTGTTCCTGGGATTCCAGGCCCTCCTGGAGGGCCAGGCTCAAAGGGGAAGGATGGACGGTGTAATCCAGGGGACTGTATGAGTCATCAAGTGGAGTACAGTCCTAAAGGGCCAGTGAAGGGCCCCTGGTAGGGTCTATGGACAGAAGGATTAATAAGAACTGATGCATTGAGCTGGAAGGAAAAACACAAGCTTTATCATGGACAATTATTGCTAAAACCATCATCACAAAAAACAAAGCAGCTACTGTCACTCACGCCATTCAGGGCTCCCCTGGAACGCAGGCCCCCCCAGAGTCCAGCGGTGGATTTATACACTGCAAAATACTGTCTGTTCTAAATCCTTTTCAATTATATTACATTTGCGCTTACCTTGCACAAGCCTCTCCAGGATCACTTTTACCAACCTTGTAAATGCTCTGGTACATTCTGAAGGTTCAGAATTTGTATATATTTTATGTATATATTTGTGCTCAGGTCATTTTTTTACTTTTGCAATACTCAACAAAAGGCATACATACAACAGAGCAATGAAGTGTATAGATATGCAATGAAAGGTCTGCGATCTCTCAAAATAAAAACATTTTGGTCAAACACAAATCCTTGTTTTTTTTTTTTTTGGGGGGGGGGGGGGGGGGGGATCCAAATGTGAAACTTATTGAAATAGAATATTCTTACATAATTCATTAGACATGCATACTTACTTCCGTAAATATCCGTCATTTAAAATAAAATGGCTATGATGCCTATGAATCTCTAAAAACATGAATGGTGGATGAAGTTAAAGCCGTTGAACAGGTGTACAGTGACATGTGAGCGAATGAGGGGTGTTGAGAAGGAAACTGAGTTTTTTGTGGTTTTGTTACCAGCACGTGACGCGACAATTTTCTGAAAATTGTGTTTAATACATTCTTGCTTGTTTCCCACAAAAAATAACATCACAGAATGTTTCATGATTGTGACAAAGCAATAGAAACACTGTGAACAGTTTGTGCTTGTGTTTCACAGACACCAGGTCACTGAGGAGTTTGCATATTCTTCCCGTGTCTGTAGGTTTTCACTTGGTTTCCCCTATCATTGTACATGTGCAATATCTCAGGGTGAATGAGTGTTTGTGAGTGGGGACAACAAAAAAGATTTCCACTATAGCTTCAGTTTTGGATCTATAATATACTGTTTGTGTAAACTGAATAATACCAGTTTATTCTCCTCAGTCCTCGCCATCTCGTCCCTCTCTGTCCCGGGACCGGGCCGCGGTCTCGCCAGTCACACACCAACCACGGGTCACAACCGGGCACCCGCGGGGGAGAGCGGGCACATCCTAGCCGTGATGTGGGCCTAGCCCGGCGCGCACACGCCTTCTGCGCTTTCAATGCGCGCCCATCACCGGTGCCGCTCTCCCCGCTGGCCTCAGTCCCCCTTGGTCTCCGGCTGCTACTCATGGCCAGGTCCGGTGTCCTCCTCCTCTCTCGTTCTCTCTCTGTCTTTCTCAGTCTCTTCCGCAGTGCCCGCCCCCAATTTATGGTCTTCTTGATTAAAAACAGGTTTGGGTAATTGGGGAAGTGTCCAAGAAACCGTGAGCTACAAATGCATGCATAAAACCATAAAAACACACAAAGCACAAAAATAAGAACGGTTAAAAGTCCCTGTAAAAGTCCACTTTCCCACATATGCTGATTTTTATTATGCCTTTCTCTATTCTCTACTCTCTTCTTTGACTGTTGCAACGAGAGCCAAAGCAATTTTCTAGTCTGTGACTTCCGGTTACTTCCATGGCAACAATGATGATTCTGATCCTGATGAGTCGGGTAAACAGTTGAACTCTATACAATTGATTCACCGTATTCATATCAATACAAACCCCTGAACCATTCACTGTTTTGGACCTACAATGATATAATAGATCATGTTTCATACAAAACCAAAAATAAAAATAATGCTAGTTGTATGGAAACTTCTTTAGATACAAAAAAATGTTTATAATCTCAGAAACATTGATTTTGTTTTATTTCCAATGTAAAACCTATTATTTAAAAGGTTCTTGTTTATTAAGTCTGACCACGTAACAACAACGCACAAGTCATCATTTGAAATGTACATCCCATTGTTGTGTAAATCTCTATTTTGCTTCACTGCCAACACTTAAGCCCATTATGCATTTATTCACAGTATATGCAGATCATTTTAAAATACAGCTTCACATGTGGTGGTGGAGAAAAAAAACAACTTGATTTTACAAAAGATTCCTTTTTATTGGTGCGGGCCCCGAACAACCAGTCAACAATCATAATACAGATTATTAAGAACAATAAATAATGCTTTTGTCCATATACATAATTCAGTCATTGGTTCACTGACCGCTTGTGAAAGTCAACAGTGGCATAGAGAGCACCTTGAGACTCTGAATCGAGTTGAGAAAAGTTAACAACTTTCAAAAGTTCTTTTTATTACCGGTTTAGGTCATTCACAGGATTTTTGTTGGAGCATATCAAAACCCATTTCTTTTACTCTACATAATAATCAACACACATTTACAAAGATTTACAGCACTGCATTGTGGGAGATGGGAGGGCCTGTCGGGATACATGGTTGCCAGGCAACAAGAGCAAAGATAAAGCTAGTAGTTAGTTGCTAAAAGGAGACTTTGGTAAAGAGTGGGGAATGAAGTACTTCAGAGGTAAGTAAGGGATGTGACTTACCGTAACCTTACACACAAAATGGTCCAATTACTCATTAAAAAAAACAGATTGCAGTGTCCTTCGCTGTTTGTTTTGGTGGGGAATAAAACAGAGAAATAGGTCAGATGTAGCAAGCAAAGCTGTGTGGGAAGAAAAGCACCTTTATACACAACAACCTCAGCTTATTGTGGAGTGCAGGACATGGAACACACTCCTTTATTGCAACAAAAACCAGAATAGGATATAGGGCAGGACTGACACTGGCATCATCCAAAACACTGGAGAATTTAGAAGGAAGTGGGAGGATGTGAGCTGCTGTTGTCATGGTGATGTCTGGGATTAAGATAAATAAGTCCCACCAGTCAAAACATCAGATTGTCACTTGCGAGAGGGGAACTACGTGCAGTCTGTGAACAGTCCCCTTCACCAGGCTGTTGTCCATCTACAAGAAGAGTAGATGGACTCTCTCCTTCCATGTCTTTCTCTTCTTCTGTCAGACCTATTGCCAATAGAGCCGCTGCTTAAAAGTTGGGTCCTTTGATTCTTCCAGCCTCCTGTAGCCGTGGAGAAGTATAGGCTGAAGCAGCCAGACACATAGCAGCCTCACAGTACCCAGGTAGACCTTGTGCACCGGCTCTACCAGGCCTACCAGCCTCTCCAGCTGCTCCTTGAGGTCCCCTTTCCCCAGGCCGACCATCCCGAGCAACTCCATCAATACCAGGAGGACCTATGATCACAACAGGTTTTAGCTACAATGACACAATGAAGCAAACCATTCTCAAAATATAGATTTACAGCTGTAACATGTCTTTAAAATGCTCTGAATGGTGTTGGACACAACATGCATTAACCCTGAGTGACTGTGCCTGTTTTCTCTCTCTTAAAATAGTGAGCACAGCTGCAATCCTATTACTTTCAAGAGCATCTGGTAAATGACTAGAGTTAATGATGCTTTTAAAATGTCTTCGACACAACGTCCTCGGGCTTTGCCCTGTTCTTGTTTGGCCACTATCAGATTCTAATTCCACAACAACTAAACTGAATTTTGGGCAGTCAGAAAATTGAGTGTTACCTTGTAACCCAGGGGGTCCTGGGGGTCCTGGATGGGGTTTACCTGGATCTCCTCGCTCACCCTTTGCTCCCCTTTTTCCTGTTGAGATTTATTTTTTCAGTGAGAACTTGTCTATAAAGTATAACATTTACAATGTAATGTATTATATACAAAATTACCTTTAAGTCCTGTGTTCCCAATTTGTCCCGGAGCACCAATGATTCCAGGAATACCACGAGGTCCGGGCAATCCATGAGGGCCCTGACCACCAGGCGATCCAGGAGGGCCTGGAGGTCCTGGAGGCCCCATCACTCCAGCTCCTCCCAGCACTGCTCTCTTGGCACTCACTGCTACTGCTGCTAGCCTCTCTGTATCAAACAGTGGTAAGTAAAAGTATGGACTGAGGAGAAAAAACATCTAGACAAGAATCACATAACTGCAACAGTGGATAGATGTATTGCATTTTGTAGTACAGTGCAGAAGAGTGAAGTATTTCTCAAGTGAAAAGTTTTGAATTACACCTTGAATATGTATTTCAGAAGCAAAAACAAAAAGTCAGTGAGTAAAGAGCAAAATATATCAAGCACTTATTCCAGCCTGTTGGGCCGGACGCACTTGCCTTTTTATTCTGTTGTGCGTTTAAACAGACCCATGTATAAAATCCATAAGTCTCTGCAATTAGTAAAACCAAAGAAAAACAAGTATAAAGACTAAATCACTATCTTTTTTCCTAATAACTTTTGGTCATTTCCCAGATTATGTAGGTACGTTTACTTCCTCCTCTGCCACCTGCTGTGGTAAATGCTGATTGAATTAAATGATGTATTATGTTTATCATGTTGAAAAAGAAAAGAAAACTAGAGCTCACCTTGCAGCATCTTCAGCACCACCTCGATGATATGCTGGTCAGATGCGTCGCGTCCCTGGAGGACGACAGGACCACAGCTGTTTTCAGTTTTGGTGAGTGATCTGAGAATTGCTTGAGCATCTGCACGAGCTTATGTCTGTGAGTGAGAGCCGAGCAGACTTACCGCTGATCCAGGGATACCAGGCATTCCTGGCACTCCTCGCTCCCCGTTCAGCCCTCGAGGACCAGACAGCCCTGGTGGACCTTGATCTCCCGGTTTACCTGGGTCACCAGTTGGACCGTTGAGCCCTGTATCACCCCGTATCCCTTGCTGTAAATAGGAATATAAAGAAGACACATAGAAATATCATTGAATTTGACAAAATAAATCAATGTCTGCACTTAGTTGCTGGAGCTTTTCTCACCTGTCCTTTGGGTCCAGGTTCACCAGACATGCCCTATTATACAGTAAAGAGAAAAGGCCTCAGACATTCAAATCATTCATGTATTGTAAATGTTCCATTTGACATGGTTTATGAATATATATAAATCTAATTAATCTAATTGTTTAACTGGTATATCAATATTGTTCTATGTTTTACCTTTTCACCTTTCTCACCAGCTAGTCCTTCGACACCTGGGTCACCCTTGAATAGGCAGCAAAGAAACAATGTGTTTAGAGTAGCATGATGTGTACATATACATACATATGAGTGTTTTAACTGGTATGATTAATTACCACATCTCCCTTTGACCCAGCCTTTCCTTGGAAACCCTGAAAGAAATCCATAATAAGTTTGCAGTAGGCAAAGATAAAAAGTACATTTCATGTGTTTTCCGAGACAGCCAGATCAGAGAAGAGAAATTGGCTCTTTGCAGTGCTAAGAAAAGGAAATGGTTGCTTAGATATCATTTCACCCAGTGTTAGACAGCATGGCTTCAATATTTGTGTGAACACTACCCCCAATGGACAAGTCTGTGTATCCCAAATATATGAAACAAAGAGATTTAACACCTTATCATTCTGAGACCAAAATTTGGTAGTAAAAAATGATTTTGGTGTGGTAACAATCTCTATACAAACAAATACCATTTAAAATCCTGCCTAGTTTTGACTGTATTTTTTATTACATATAAGGAAAAACATGATAAAAATGGGTGGGAATCAAGAAGTCTTATAAAGTTTTGCTTTGGTGTGTGTTCAGAGCAGAAACCAGATTCACGGTGAATCATGCAAGAACATTTGCTTTGACTAAAAAGAGGCTTCTCTGTGTTCTTGCCCAAATTCTTTGAAATTTATGTTATGTATCACTTGACTGACAAACACAAATTTAATCTGTCATAGAATGTGATATTATAAAACTAAATACAAACATACTCTACCTGAACTCGAGCCCTGTTCTCTGGAATATCAGTTCTCTGGCTTAACCATTAGACCACCGTTGCATACTATAGTTGGTGGTGTCGAAGGAGGTAATTTAACTGCAATGAAGAACGCACTCAAAGCAGCAAGTTTTGCATCACACGAAAAGTTTGTATTCGCTGTCTCAATTTTTCAACGTCGTCCCGAAATCCTAAATCCTCGTTTTAGTCTTTGTTTTGTCATTAATGATTTGAGAGTCATACTAAGAAATGTTTTTATTTCTGTGGCCACATGTGATTAGCTAGCCGCGGGGAGTTCTGGCAACCCGGAGCTCGGACTTCCTTATTGACGAAACGGCGGAGGGTAGGACATTGAAATGAAAACAATAACAACTTTTACGGGTTGTAAAACTATATTTTGATATTCAAATATCTCGGCTGAACTACTGTTATCAGTTAAAGATGTATTCGAAAAGAGCATGATTAAATAACGCCTTTTGAAATATTGGGGCCATTAATAATGACTTGACATGCAAATATTACATAATGCTACTTTAAAGTGCTGGTGTAAGACACTCTCACCTTGTCTCCTTTTGTTCCACCGAGGCCCTGAGCTCCTGGTACACCAATGGGCCCTCGCTCCCCTTTACTTCCCTAATGGGCACACATTTTTAACAAAGTACTTGTCAAAAGGCACATATACACAATAACATAGTATACTTACAGGTTTGCCAACAGGTCCAGGGGCCCCCACAGCTCCTCTCTGGCCTCGATCTCCCTGTGATAAAGTGAGTATTAGACTATCTTCATCAGCCACATGCTTGTTTTGTTTTTGGAAGTACCTTTGGCCCAGGAACTCCCTCCATGCCAGCTTCTCCGGGAAGCCCAGGCTCACCCTAATCATACAGATATGAATTGTCTCTCAATACTGACCAACAGATTTTAATAATGGCGGTAGAGTAGTTCATATGTTCGTTACCAAAGGTCCAGGAGCCCCAGCCATGCCAACATGCCCTCTTGGTCCAGTTGCTCCCTAAATAGAGAAAAGGAAAAGTTATGAGGTAATTGTGATGATGGAATTAAATATTCTACATGTATTTCAACACTTGTAAAATCATACTAATAAATAATATCTACCTTGTCACCAGGTCCACCCTTTGTACCAGGACTTCCAGGTAAACCCTACAAAATACAACTTAGATTGTTCAAAACAGTTTACAAATACGAAAAACAACGTTGTAATTTCTGCCCCAACTGCATCAGATTCATGCATTTGCATTTGCAGTGGGTTTTCTTCATGTCTTTTACCAACTTGTCAGTTCAAATCATTTCATTCTAATCTGTGCTTGTGGTTTCATGAATGGGAAACATTGCAGTTTATATTCTCAGAGCCAATTATAGGAACAGTTTGCACTTTTTTATAGATTGCTGTGGAGACCACAACTGTGAAGTGAAAGAAAAATGATATAAAATGTTTAAACATAATTTATGAATAAACTAAACAGTGAGCTTTGGAATTTCAGAATCACAGCAAGAATACTCACTCATTCATGTGTTCTTATCTTTGAACAATATTGTATTTGTCTAATCAGTAATCCAATTCCATTTTTGATGAAAAAAGAAACACATAGAAACGTAAACAGAGAAGATCATATTAGATAAAATACATTTAGATTAATTGTTTCCAAGATCGTCCAGCCACTATACACTAAGCACTTGTGTACAATAGTATTTTACGTTTTCTTGCAGATGTTTTTAAATCTATGTGTATATGTTTGTGTAAACTTGAGGGTAAGTGGTGTTTAAGTCTGTGGCACTGAGAGGCACCGCAGTGACCGTACGGCAAAGTGCTGCTCATGGCCCATTACCCTCTCATCAGAGCACGGCACTCACACACACAAGGTTTCGGACAACTCTGTGTGTGTATGTGTGTGAGTGTATGCGGGTGTGTGTATATGTGGGTGTGCATGTGTGTGTGTGTGTGTGTGTGTGTGTGTGTATGCTATGATTGTGATAAATCACAGGTCATGCCAAAGCTATTTCAAGGTGGTTTAAATTCTAAAGTGTGCAGGTGAGCGGTCACTGTTTCTGGACAAACGCCCAGAAAAAAAACACCACAACTTATCATAAGCACCCTATTCTGTGTAACAAAATGCACTTCATCGAAATGTAGCACATACTATCATCACATGTTTCCTTACATCGTTCCTAATACAGTCATCACAGATTTAACCAAACATATCAGGGAATGATCTTAAAAAGTTCAAAGAAATGCTGGAGAACACCACCTTTTTCACATCGAGGGCTACTTTAAGATTACTTAATGCCTCGAGGGCTTCTCCATAACATTAAAATGAAAGTAATTGTGCAGTAAAAATAATATAATCGTATATAGCCCCAGTTATTTATTTTGTTATCATGGATTAGGATTTTCAACTATGACAAGTATAATAAGGTGATTATGGTACATCTAAAAATAGAATAGGGATTTATATCATCCTCCTTGGCTGAAGGAGAAGTCACTGTCGCTCCAGGTATATTGAACTTGGGCTACTCAACTCAAACCACCAAAAATAGTGATATAATAATATCCACGTCACAAGTTCCTGGCTCTAAAACAGTAAGATTCTTTGATCAAAAGTATTCACAAGCATGTTTCTCATCTTGAGATCAGCGTTTTCAGACTCACTCTGCCTTAATGCTCCTTAGTGTACCAAAGATAGTGTGTGATCTAATAAGATGTAGACATGCTGTGGTCTGATTTGTTTACAACAATTTACTTTGAGACACAAAATCTATTATTTTTTCAACAAAAAGTTAGGTACCCGAGCTTTAAAAGCCTCCTTGATTCAGTCATGCAGGCTCAATCCTGTTGTTTTAAAGCATCAATAGAAAGTGCATACAACACAGTGCATCGTCGCTAATCAAGCCCATATTTTGGATACGTCTATTGTTTTTGGATGCTTTAAAGATCTAAACAGAGCTGGATCTCTGATGGGGCCAACAGACGACCAGGGGGCCATGCTTTGCGCGTGCCTGATTTGGTGCACAGTTGCCCCGCGACCACAACATGTCTGACCCCTGGCATACAATATACATAAGAGCCTTTTTTCCCCCAACACCTCATCCAGCAGTTGCAGTCATTCATCTCGGTTTTATAGTTTTGATTTGTTTGTTGGCCACCAGACTGGAGCTGCTGGATGATGAGTACATTCTCATGAATACAAGATATTCATAGTAGTAATTATTATTATTATTGTGAGATAACATCCCCTATCAATGAGAACAAATAGATATGTTGTATCAGTTCTTCCACAAAAGTACAATGGTTCAAGAAAAATACAAAAATAGAACTCACAGCAGCTCCCTGAGGACCGGGTGGGCCGGGTCTGCCAGCCTGACCCGGAGCTCCCTACACACAAGAAAACCACATTAGAAAGGCCCCTGACAGGAGATGAAGCTGCTGCTCTTATCTAAAGCTGGTAACCCTTGCCTTGATTCCGGGGATACCAGGTGTGCCATCCTTTCCATCAATTCCCGGCAGACCCTGTAAGAGCAGAGCAGAGAGAATGTATTTTCTACTTTCTTCAGACATCAACAGATTCTCATGTTTTCTTGGAATACTCACATTCTCGCCTTTTTTGCCCACTACACCCTGTGGCCCCTGGATACCGCGGTCACCCTGCACAACAGAAGAAAACCATTGTCAGGGTATTTTCTCAATCACAAAACTCATGAGAGAAACTGAGACATTGGAACTTTTTTTTTCATCACTGTCAATATTGGAGCCTTCAGAGAAAATAACCTAATACTTTATTATTCTTGCACTTTTTGTATTACTGATTCATCTGCAGAAGTAAACATACAAGCATGTATTTCTTGCACTTGAGTAAACAGTAGTTCATACTGTCCTTCTTTATTGAGCTCAAGATAGTTTTTTTTCAAAGTATAGAATGGTGCTATATTTGATTTTCACTTATCTTGTGTTGTGCAGGATATGTAACTTGTGATGCAACAAAAAAAAACGGCAAAGCCCAATATTTCCACATTGAGTTTGACAGGTTAGACTTCATTTTTCACAGAACAAATGAAGAATGAATGACCATTTCATTTAAGCTAATGCTAATTGTTTCCTGAATTGAATCTCAGATCGACCAATTATTTAGATTTATAGCTGTACTTCCTGGTTGTGACTGATGACATCATGTCGCCTTTAGCAAAACTGTGATGAATTGGGTAAAAACTAATTACGTGTCAATATTTAGTTGGGTGAATTAGTACAGTGTGATAAAAATGTGTTTGTTGTAATCTGTGCCAAACTTTAAGATTATATCACCAGTTCTAGACAGCAAAAGATTTTTGCATTCTTCTTCACAAACTGCGACTTTAAAACATTCATTCATATTTTAGTCAGGTGCCTTTCCTGAAAATTAGAAACAATAATGATGCCTTGGCCCATGGATGATGATCCATGATTTGACATACTTACTTTGTCTCCTTTATCTCCTGGCTCACCAGGTGGTCCTTTGGGGCCCTCCTCACCCTGAAGTATAGACAGAATAAAGATGAACAGGTTTCCAATTCTATTAATGGAATGAAAATTTGTAGTTCTTTGGAGGTCATACTGGAGGTCCAGGAATGCCAACTGGTCCTGTGATGCCCTTGTATCCACGAGGCCCCTGTTGAATACAGACACATATCTGTCAGTTTGGATTAGTAAAGGTGTTAAGTCATCGTGGCCCACTCTTCATTGAGATAAACACATAATTAATGCTCAACTTGACTGCGCTCCTCTAATAGGCAGTACACAAAGATCCCAACACGACTCTGGCGTTGACAATGTGCCGGGGGTTGCTAACTTGGCTAACGTGGCTAATGTTAACAGTAAGACGGATGACTATGGTGGATCATTAACTACAGATGGAGGCCCATGGACCCAGACAACCCCAACTCATTAGAGGAGGGGAGAGATTTGTGCTAGCATCATTTCCATATGTCCCCATTGCTGGTAATGGATGATGTTTGTGCAGCAGGGGCAGGTCTAACTGTGCCTCCATGGAGCTCATCTCGAAGAAAGAGAGCAGCCATGCGCCAATGGGAAAGAGGACAAAAACTGTGTTATTGTGTTGAAAGAAGTACACTCACCGCTTCACCTTTCGGACCCATCATTCCAGGATAACCTATGAGACCAGGGGGTCCCTACAGAAAAAAAATACATCAAGGGTAAAATATGTTAAAAATATGTTCAAACAAAACATTGCAGACTACAAATAGAAATGAGAATTATAGCTTATAAAAATGAAAATAATGCACATACAGGAGGTCCAGGGATGCCCTGCTCTCCTGAAATTCCATTCTCTCCTTTGATGCCCTGAAGAAAGATGATGAAATGAGAACAGAAAGATTATTTAGAGTTCCTCCACACACCTGCAGAACAGGGGCACGCAACAACAAATGACGGATACAGAATGGATGTTTAAGAAGGACATTATTGTCTTCCTATAAAAGCAAAGAATATCTGTGAGGTGTGTTTATGTCTGCATGTACACTATGGCCAAGAGGTGGCACCAAGGGACCTCTGTGCCCATGCAATCAGGTCAGAGGTGGAAAGTGTGATGGCAAGCGACTAGTATTCATGCAACCCTGCCTGTGTCTATTCATATGTCATATGTCCCTGTTCCAGGAAGGAGCCGGGCCCCCCCCGACACCTACAGACAATGGCGCAAATCACTGTCCTCCCTTTCGCCTCTTGCATATCTATCGGTCTGTATGTGTGCATCTTCTACGTCCTGCTGTCTGTCACACCCTTGTGTCTTCCGTGTCTTGCATCTGTATGACCTGCATTTAGACCATTGTCTGTCTGTTCGCACCTCGTTCCCAGACGGCGGTGTTGTGGGCGGGACTGTCTCTCGTGTGTGTTCTTGTATACAGGAAACTTGGGGCTCTGCCCTCAGAGCTAGTACATGCTGCCTTGTGTATGTGCTGACTCTCCGTACGTATGTTAACAATAAACTTACGCTTTTGATCAGACAAAGACCTTTGAGTTTTCTCCTTCATTGGGTAGAAACTTCCTTAACAATTTGGCGTTGCTGACATGTCTTGGCATGGATACTTTCGGCGGGGACGAGCGGCTTTGTTTGGCCGACCTGGATCACCAGCCTCTGTTCCTTTTTGGAGACAAAGGAGGGCGCGCTCGTCCCGCGCACGGAAGGAATCCTTTTGCTACACAAGACCAAAAAGAACCTAATCTGGTGAGTCTTGTCTTTTCATCTGCGTAACGAGCCCAGGGCAGCCCTTAAGTCGACACGGGGATTTGTTTATTTATGTATTTTTGGGGTATTTCATTCATTGCCACAGCATAGTCTGTGTGCGGGATTTTTTGGGGGCTTTTTGTTCTAGATTGAAGCTAGCGGCTGCGCGTTAGTATCGCATTGTAAGCGACCCTGGAATCTCTGAGTGTCTTCAGCCAGAACCGCTCCGTTTTCAAGAACGCGCGCTCGCTGGTTGAACCAGCGGGGGGGGGAACGGAGCGCCCCAAAGTGGGTAGGAGCAGGGAGAGACTAAGCGGGTTAGGCCCATTGTTCGTACCGAGAAAATGGGTAAAATCAATCTACAGATGCAAGCTATGAAGTGCTTGCCTATGGTGCAGGTCATCTGCGTGATAATTTAGAAGAAGAAGGGAAGAAAAAAAATATACTTGGTTTTAAGAATATCACGGCAAAAGAGGTTAGAGAAAGAAATATGTAAAAACAATAGCTCCTCCGCCTTTCACCAAAGCGGAGAACACACAGGCGCACACACACGCCCTCTCTCACCTACTAACCCTTTCACACTAGGAGCAGAACTCCATGCTAAGTACGCGCCCAAACAAGGCGTTGGGTTTTTAAAAAATGAAGCAGACTACTGTTGTCTCTTTTCCCTCTTCCCTATCCAGGTCTGTCGGCGCCTTTCCTCCGCGCTCTGTCCTCTGCCTCAAAGCACCAGCCCCACGCCCCAACCACAGGCGGCGCCCGCACCAGCTGAGACCCCGCGAGAAGTGGGCCCAAACCGCAGAAGAAGAAGAGGCGGAAACAGACACACGCTCAGGAAACCACAGAAGAAGAAGCGAGGGAAACAAATATGTGAGACACCGACAACTGCTTTGGAGCACAGAGAGAAACTGCTCCAAATCCCGTGACTGTTCTCCACGGAGGGGGCAGCGTGATATACCAAACGCACCCGCGGAAACCCCCTTGAAAGTTGTTCCCGCACCGCAAACAGAAGAAGCCATTGTGACCGGCACGTTTGGGTTATTCACCAACCCTCATGGACCACATGCTAACGCTTTGGGCTACCTGGGCCTCCTGCGGACTTTGAAAAACTTCCACAGCCCGGCGGAAAGACTGTGTGCTCGACATGGGTCGAAGGACTGTTACCGGAGGAGGCGTTAAAGGCAGAGGAACGCTCCAAGCTAACACGGGGCCAGAGGACGGCAGAGGCGGGCACGGAGGAAACACGAGCGACTGACCAAACCTGGGTTCACATTCGTCACCAAAGCGACCGCTCATGTAAGTTGAACAACAACAAATTGCAATTGGCACTTTTTAGAGATAATTCATGCCCGTAATATACGCTAACAACCTGTGGTGTACAAGTTAAAATTCTGGATGACTCCGGGGCAACAAATTCTGTACTAAAAGTGACAGCCTTTCTGTCTCCCCTAAAATGAGCGGCCGCTTCATATTCTAATTAGCAGCGTCGGAGAGACGACTAAAGAGCAATTTACGTCACCGCTAACGTGTTTTGATTCTCAGGGCAACCAGCTTAAACATTCTTTTCTATATTCCCCATTGTCCCCGGTTAATCTACTAGGCCGAGACCTTATGTGCAGACTCAATTAAAAATAGATAAATAAAAGGAGGCACCGGTCCCAAAAGTTAACTACCACTGGAAATTGACACCAAACCCTGAGATTGCTAAGTTATTAGCCACAACAAGTGGATAGTGACGCCCGCACAAAATTTGGAGGTCAACCACGCGAACGACCTAAGCTGCTCTCTCCGGTCGTTCCCAGACAATAACTTGGAGTTTGAAAATTCATGCAGTGTAGGGAAGATAGGCTAACGGAGTACGTTTATTGAGATAGGCACCACTATCTGTGCTACTTAATGAGTAACAAAAACATTTTTATCGTGAAACAAAGGTGAAGTATTAAAGTTTGAGACTAATTTACATTTTTAATGAATCCGACCTGGCTTTATTGAAAAAGAAAAAAAAAATAAGGAAAAAATACATTTTTTTTAGGTGACAAGAGCTCATTAGAGATATAGGGGACACAATCTGTGATAAGCCCGAAGTATAGACCACGTGGTAAACACTAAAGTTGGAAATGGATCCTTTTAGGAAAACTCTTTTAAAGCTCTGCAGGCTCTGAAAGTTGCAACAATAAGAAATAGCTCATGAGACAATTGGAATTGGACATGGGAAAATATAACAAAGTTAAAAGTACAGGCCTTCTGTGTGTGTTACATGTTTGTGTGTTATATGTTTTGTGTATGTTATATGTTTGTGTGTCATGTCAAAGTACACTACGCTGACCTTAACAAACTCTGGACCAATACTAACGTGGGGAATCGGCCTGTGATGTGACTGTGATGTGACTGTGATGTGACTGTGATGTGAGTGTGGAGTGAAATGAGGAATGCTGAACGGAATCATGGAATAACAAATGTGTCTGTAATGTTTTAATGTGATCATGGAATAATTCTTTTTTGTCAACAGCATACGGTGTAAGTACTAGAGATTCAAAGATAACGACCTTTATTGAACAGGTGTAAAAGTGAGAGTACTCTGGGATGAGTACTCTGAGAAAAGTACTCTGCGGAAAGTACTCGGAGATGAAATACCTCACTGAAGATATTGGGAGTTCCTCACTCTGCTGTTTGCCCTGACAGTGATTCGGTCCAACCGCAGTGAGCGGTCATTGGGCGGAGGACAACTTTGGTTCGTAAACTCACATTTAGGGGAGTATAAAATTAGTAACATACATTTTGTTGTTCTGTATCTGGCTACAGCCTCCGCCCTGATGCCACACACCGTCTGTCAATGCAGTTATGTTTTGCCCAATTGGGAAAAAGATTGACAAGCGAAAGTGGGCATTTTTTGTGTTTTTTTTTGTGTTCTGATATTTCTTTTTCAGATGAGAGATAAACTACCCCTGCTCCAGGGATGACAGTAGTATGGATCAGGAGGAAATGAGCCTCCACTTTGGCACAAAAGCCCACAATATGAATTGAGGACGATCCGGGAGAAAAGCAACTGGAGATGAACGGAACAGTCGGTACTTTTGCAGCCTCACTGAGGGCCACTGAGACCCACTGCTTACTTCTCAGCAAAACTCGATCCCGTGGCAGCAGGGTTGCCTCGCTGCCTGCGGGCTGTGGCTGCTGCTGAGAAAGTGGCCCTAGCATCACGTGACCTTGTGGGATACACTGAACTAACCTTGCTTGTGCCCCATGCTGTTTCCCTGATCCTGTTAGAGCAGAGGGCCTCTCGCCTTTCTGCGGCTCGTTGGCTGGGGTACAACACGGTGCTCTTTGAACTACGGTGAAGGGATGCACACAGCTGAACCCCTCCTCGCTGCTGCCCACGCCAGAGGAAGGGGAGGCACACTGCTGTATCGCCACAATAGAACAGATATGCACTCCCAGGCCAGACCTGAAAGAGGTGCCTCTGACTAATCCTGACTTGATTTTTTTTATATACAGACGGAGCCGCGTCACGTGACAACCCTGGGAAGAACCGAGTCGGCTATGCTGTGTGTTCTGATTTTGATACTATAGACTCTGGTAGTTTGCCCCACTACCATTCAGCACAAACCGCTGAACTGGTCGCGCCCACCGGGGCTGGCAGCGGGCAAAACCTGTGTGGAATTCTTAATTCCACACAGGTTGAACGTCTGCTGAGAGCTGTAATGTTGCCCTTAGAGATCGCTGTATGCAAATGCCAGGCCCACACTAATGCCACTGATCCCATCTCTGCAGGGAATCGGCGCGCGGACAAGGCAGCGGCATACGCACCTCTACACACACACACACACTACCTCACTCAAGACGTTGATATTTTCTACTCCAGCAGAGACGCTGCTGTGGGAGGGGAATGGGGCTCAACGACGGCATGGTGTGTGTGGCTGGGACCAGACAGCAAACCGTGCCTACCACGGCATTTCTTCAGACAGTTTGCAATTTTAGCACATGGTCGAGACCATGCCTCAAAAGGAGGGATGATGTGTGATTTAATCACACAAAATTGGTATACAAAGGGGTTTACGGCATTTGCACAGAGATTCAGCCAAACATGCGCTATATGCCCCGCGCACAACCCAGGTAAGTC